CTTGCGTCCGTACGTCCTTTCTTTTGAGAGATTGGGAGCTCTCGTACGACAGACGCGGGACAGACGCGGAGCGTCCGAGCTCAATGGGAAGCCAAAGCATGAGTTGCATGGGCCGATGAAGGAAAAGCCACCTACAGAGGACCAGTGGATCTCTATTTTGGGACCACCGACCACCGACCAAACCATGGTCTTGTCCGAACCGGGGGTCGTTTTTCTGGGTTCGCAAGCCGGACACGTGACCGGTCAGACCACTCGTGGGCCGAGTGGACGTCCCAAGAACGGCACTAGTGCGATCGCCTCCAGGTTTGTGTGCCAATGGACTACATCCGAACCAGCGCGGCATCCCAGCGGAGAATGCGGGAAGGTGGTCGGAAGTGGTGTGCTGACTTGTCAACTTGTCACGCCCGCCTCTTGGCCAAAGCATCAAACAAAATATAACAAACACCAGAGCCCCCTAAGGGGTGGTTAATGGATAGCCCTGAACCTCTAAGGAGCTATAATTAGACACCCCTTAGGGGCCCTGGCATGATCTCCTGACATCCGGTTTCTCTTTCGCGTCTGCGATCACATGCGGATGTCATGTCATTCTCCCTTTTTCCTCGGTTAGACCACACGTGTGCGCCAGCGAGTGGAGCGAACACGCCTGTTTCGGAGCGAAACAGAAGGGCGCTCGAATCTCTGGGTGGACGTCCAGGAAGACCTGGCCCAGCCTTCAGTTCGACCCAAAGAATGGGAACGACCTGGTGGTGTAGTGCACAAATCCTTCGTATTACGCAATGGGTGTAGACTCGGTTCGACCCTGCTCGGTTCGACCCTGGTAGATCCTGGTAGTACACCCTGGTAGTACCCACGAATCCATCCGAGGGTAGCTTCAACTCCACGAAACGACCCGATCCAACGGAGCCGGTGCACGAAGGGAGAGTCGACCTTTGGTTTGAGACGAAACGAACGAAGGCCACATGGAAAGAATGAATTGGAACATGGTTCGAAACAGATTCCAACAAAAGCCACAAACTAACACATGTTTCAAGAAACACAACCACACCAAGCTATAGACTAGACTATAAATGTTAGTCTTCTCTTCTAAGCCGCTCTCTCTAAAGGACACACGAACACGTTGAATGCGGTCGGTGGTGAAGTCGTTTTCTCACCCAAAACGGCTATCGAAGTCGGTGGTTGGTTGATGGGAAGGGGATACGACCGATCTTGGCATCGTTTAGTACAACCAAGAGGCTAACCCTAAACCTTATAAACCCTCAGAGGTGGTTCAAAACGACTGAACCAACCCACAAAATCGACCACCTGACTCGGTCTTGATTGACACCGCTGCCACATGCCGAACCTGGGTTCCGTGGTTCAAACGACGGGAGGTCCCATTTGTTCCACTGAAGTGTTCATGGAAACTCCCAAAGCATCGGGTTGCGTAGATAAACATATACCTGGATCATCCTGGACCGGGGTGTCCTGGCGTGTTCGACTTCCCGGAGAGCAAGGTAGTCGGGTAGTCCACCCAGGTGACCCAGTGGCCGGATGGTCCTGGTAATAGGACCTGGACCTTTTTTTAACATAGACCTAGCGCTTCCCTGGAGACCAGCCTAAGTAGGGTGGGTTGTCCAGCCAGGTAACCCCGAACGGAAGCAGCTGGTGTGTGACCAACTGATGTCGACTGGACTTTGCCTGGGATTTGGCTGCGGAAAACCCCTTCCTGGTGAGGCTTGCACCGCATCAGCGAGCTGAACCATCCCAACGTGCCTCGCTTGGTGGATTGCCTCGAGGAGAAGAGCGTCGTGTCGCGGTGTTGCGGAAGAAACGCAGAGTGAGAGCGATGTGAAGAGATGTGAAAGACCTGGGAGCTTTGCCTTCAACAAGACGGGCCAGGACTGGTTAGCCATTAATGGACACCCTTTCCGTGGTGCTAGAGGTGGTCCTCTTTTGGTGTCAAACATTACCCCTTGAGAAAGTGGGATAAATGGGATTTGTTTTTAGTGACATGGAGGTTTTTAGACATAGAGGTGTTGGACATTGGCGTCTCGGACATGGGGTCGTCGGACAGTGCACTTAGATGAAGGGGGGGTGTATCCACAACAGACACTTCAGGAACCACAACAACAAAAGGCGTTCCCCGACAAGGGATTACGCTTCCTCGACTAATCTAGTTCTGGTACCCAACAACATTTTCCACACTTCCCCCTGACAGCGGCAGCAGCAAAAGCTCCAGCTTGCCCTACACCTCCATGGAGGAAGAGGCCGGACTGGGCGGTATCCGCTGAGTTTTGTGCAAGAGTAATAAATAACTGACCGCTCTCACCAAGGGCTAACAGAGCTTTGCTCAATTCGAGGGCTTGTTTCCAGTTTTCGGTCACTCTGCTGTTAGCTCCATTCCAGGCAAGCGTTTGTCTGGGCTTTGCGTCATTCCTGCCCGGCACTGGACATTTGGGACCCCGAGCTCTTCCAGAGGTTTCTTCCAAACGCAAGGCTGGGGAGCTGAGATGGGGGAGGCGAAGAGGTTGATGAAGTGCTTCCATGACCCTCTATCCTTACTTTCACGATGCTTCCAGGATATAGATATACATATGTATATGTATATACTATAGATGTATACAAAGATCTGAGGCAGCTTGTGCAAGTTTGGCCTTCTGTTATCAATGTTGTGTTGTGTCCATGTTGAACCCTGGCCCAAAGAAGATGGCAGCCCAGTCCACATATCCATGATGGACAGAAGTGGAAGGAGGCAATGGGCCCCAGCGGCTCGGTCATCAGCGGGTATGAGCACATGTGCTGCGCTATCCAGCAGATTGACTGCCAAGGCAGATGGATTATTTTTGCACCTTTGCCATGATGCGAGAGTGAGGACCTCCTCTTAATTGCTTCATTATGAGCTAGCCATGATAGTTTGGCCCGTGCAGGCAAGTCTCGAGTTCTGGGCGCAGCAGCAGCAGACGAAGCAGTGCAAGCGGCTGGGCGTCATCCGCAGGCCAAGGCCAAGGCACGGGCTCTATGGGCTCGGCCTCCTCCACACCTGTGGCAGATCCCGATCGACTACCTTTTGAAATTCATCCGAGTGATGATGTTCGCCTGTACTGGGGCTCTGTTCCATCTGGCCTGGAACATCGTCCATTCCAGACTCACGCAGAGTGGAGATGTGAAATGTTTTTCTTTGGCATTGCGAATCAAGGCCCACTTTTTTGCCAGTGCAGTTTCCATGTTATTGGGACGGAATGTTGTCAGGCATTTTCACGGGGAAGCCAGCTGGGTCGACTACTTTTTCAAGATGTATATGGTGGAGAAGTCGATGAGCAGCTCAGTTTTCTGAACAGCATGCAGTCTTAGAGCGAAGACTAGTTGCAGTCGAAGGCATTCGAGGTACAGGGGTTGTGGTCAGTCTGGTTATTCGGATTTTCAATGACTATAGGGAGCCCAACACGCGTGAGAATTGACGAGCACCAACCGCGTAGAACTCGTGAATCTATAGCGGAGATAGGGATGTGTTCAGCAAGTCGGGGAAGTGGTTGCCACAGCCACCTGAACCAAAGGTGTCAACATGGGTGAGTGGAGAGGCGGAGATTGAAGGATTCTTTAGCTACATCCAAGCACTTCGAGCTTGGTCGCAACTTGTGTCGGACATAATGGCGACGGCAATTAACAGGCCACTGGGTGGAGGCCGGAACTTGTGACAATTTCCCTTACGGTAGGGGAGCAAGGTCGTTCAGCGAGGCTGTTCGCGTTACTAAAAGTAGATAAAAGTAGCGTTCGCGTCGCATCCTCCCATAGATTCGCTGTACGAGGCAGGTTGCGTTGCGCAGTCCACAATAGTCAGTCCAAGCCCTATGGGTCGCGTGGGTATGAGCTGTTACGAATCTTAGCGCTGGAATTTTCGCTTCGAACACGGACAGAGGCAATCTGTCTGAGAGCTGCGCTGTTGAAGAAAGAGTTTCGTGTATATAGATGCCAAAAGCGTACACGTAGTGTCAGATCTCGTGCGCGTGGCTCAGGTTGCAGTCAGTAAATTCGAAAGACTCATCGAAACGCTTTCACCTGAAGTAGAAAGGAGCGCTCTAAGGGTTGGACCTTCGGCTTTGGCGCTACTCTTCATTAGGAACCTTCCTCATGAAGCCAAACAGTATGTGTTGTCGCATGGCGAAAGTGAGTCTTGCGATTCGTTGCAGTCAGCCGCACTTAAGTACGAAAGGCAACAAAGACTTTACGTGGAACTAGGTGCTTTTTCGAAACGCCCTGTGGCCTTGTGAATGAAGTTGCAGTCACTGAGACAAACAAAGACGAAACGTGTGGTTTTTCAGAAGATGTGTCAGCTGTTCAGATCGAGTGATTGCAGTCGCTGTGGAAAGAAGAATCATGACAGTTCGGCTTGCAATACGGACTGGCCAAAGACTTCATGTTTCAGGTGTGGTTTTAAGTTGTCAGAACAATGGAAACCCAGGTCAAAAGTGAGGCAATGATGGAAAAGGTTCTCAGGCTGATCCCAAATTCAAGGCCAAGGGCACCGAAGCTTCATGTGGGGAAAGGACGGTAACCGGCGGTCCATTCGCGGATGGGTCGTCCGACGCCGCCTGCTTCTTCGCATCGCAGCCATCTAACTCAGCACCTAGCATCAACCTTGTTCGGGCGCGGTCATGGACCTTGCAGCACATCGCCGCTCGCGTCGCCTTCGCAAGCGCCGTGCGGGCTGACGTGGAGGCTGAACGTTTCGCACTCGCCAGTTATCACCTTTAGAACCTTGTAAGATCTCATCTCAGTATGTATGTATAGTGCCGTTCTAGGGGAGAAGCGCGCTCTGTGTGGAGGCAGAGGAGGCAGCACTTTTGATGTTCAGATGGCGGGGCAGGCGCAGTGCTTTGTGCAGTTGGATGTGCAGATTTCCTGGCGCAGTATTTGTTGTATTCTTGTTTTTGTGTGCGCGCGCTCCTATTATATGTGGCCCCACCATTGACTTTAATAGCCTCAAGCCAGAACAAAGCATGGTCCTAGCGCATTTTACACTACAACAATCTAGGTCCACCGTTTTTGCCCCTGGCCACGCACATAGCCCTCCAACATGTCAGCGGTTTCCGAGAGTTCGGTCCGGTGTTTTGGACCCGGAGGTCATCGTTTTGACGTGTTCAAGCAGTTTGGTCACCCTGTCCCTACAAAGTCCAGGCTGAGTAAAACCAGGCCCTGAAAACCTTCGTTTTCGTACTGTTTTGGTATGATATGACCCACTCGAGTAAAATGAGGTCCAACTGATTTGTAGGGCTGTGCTTGGTGACTGACGTTTCCCATTCGCTTTCCAGGACTTCCGGAACTTCTTCGTGGTTTCGGAACCCATCGACTCGTTAGAGGCGGATTGTCGACGCGAAACGACGCGCAAGCCACGCGAAGAACGCGACGAGTGTTTTTTACATTTTTCCGGATCGCGGGGTGGAGCCGTCTTTATCCATTTGTTTCTTTTTGGGGCTGGGTTTCCAGGTGTCAGTGATTGTAAGTGTAAGATGCAGTGCAAGCGTAAGTACCTAGAGCCCAGACATTGCAAGGAAAAGACCCTATTTGCTGGTTGATGATCCACAATAGAGGTCACTCAGGTTCTAGGTCGCTATATGTAACTGCCAGGAGATTCTGGCGGTGGGTGCCCCTTCTAAGGGGTCGAAAGGAAAGAACTACGAGGTGTTGTGAACATCTCCTGTGTGCCGAGCATCTTCAATTTCAACCTCCTTCACTTTTGAGGAAGCTAAACATCATTTTGAATCCCTTCAATGTCCGCAAGTGTTCCGCTCACCGGCGGTCGGAACACTGCAACCCACGGGGCGTTCCACCGCAAAGCCCGCAAATGGGGCCTGCTTGATCTTCCGGCTTGATGACTTGATGACTTGGGCGAATGACATCCCATGTGAGCTACGAGCATGGGCATTGTCCACAGCATAGAAGCGCACGGGACAAAGACACCCGCGATGGGTAAGAGATTTGGGGACAAAGACACCCACACCATGCGATGCTTCGACCTACGGTTGAATCGAAACCTATGTTGGACGATCCCAGTTCAGTGCCTCAGTTCGTGTCCGACCCGCGCACCGCCGGGGTACCGGGGCGGCGAACGCTCGCACGCGACCCGGAGGTCATGGACTTCATGCAGAGCTCCTTCGTGCGGGGCAGCACGGTCTCGGAGGCGATTCGCGAAGGAAGTCCGGCAACGGGGGGATGGTGTGGTGTGGCTCGTTCCATCCTGCCAGGGGGCGTGGATGTGATGCAATGTGACGCGGGCGCGGCGACTGCCTCCATGGTGAAAGTCCACAAAACGAGTTGCAAGGGGTGCACATCCACTCACTGGATGGGACTAAGCACCACCCCATTTGTAACTCGTGGACCATATTCGACTAAACATCGAACGGCTGAACTACCCGCATCAACCTACCAGCAGCTTTTGAAACGACGCCCGCTTCTCAAACGACTCGCCCGTGAGAGGAGGGTGACACCGACAAAACCAGTTCGGCACCGGGGTCACCTGCTGACCGGGTCATCTGCCTGGACCATCAATCGCACATGACTTGGTCTGGAAGAGCCAGGACACCCCAACAAACCCAGCGCCGCGACGCGCGAGGGCGCCACCTTCGTTCCATCTTTCCGCCTTCCGCGGATGTTCCGCGGATGTTCCGCCGCTTCCGCAGCCGCGCCTTCCGCAGGCGCACGTGGCGAGTCTCCTCCGCCAGGCGCGCGCTGGCTCGGGATGGGTGCGAAGGCGAAGCGCGACGCGGTGGGTGGAAGAGAGGATGGAGCCATTCTTTTGAGCCATATCGAGCAGTGTGTCGAATTCTACTTGCTCATGCTGCAAACAAGTCGCGGAACGCTTTCAAGCGATGTTGATCTGTTTCTCCTAAAAGGTGTTGGACGGGGCAAGTGTTTTTTGATCCCTTTGTGTGGGGCTATAGGGGAGGAGGAGGTACTTCTTTTTGATTTTTTGCAAGTCTGGCAAGTTCATGTCTCCACATTCTGCCTGAAATCCTTCACTAGCAAGGAGGGTTAGAGTTCACTCCCGCGCAGTTTTCCCCCCTCCTGCTCTGCCCTTGCCCTGGCGCTTCACTTGGGATTCGACCAAAAGGGGAACGCAGGTCTTGGATGCGTGTGCTTATTGCCACGCGCAGCAGCTGGGGCTCGGACCCGAGTTGGACATCAGCTTCAGACGGACAGAGTTGGGGACAGATCGTCCCTCAAACATGCGAAGGAGCTGACTAAAGGCTGGTAGACATCTGTAGACCTGAAAATCCAACGCGCCGAATTCTCCGGTTTCTGGGACATTCGGATGATTCATCCGACATGGATCTTGCATGGCATGATCTGATTCCTTCATGCTGAAACTGCCACGGATGAGTCGTCGTCTCCAGCGTTCCACCGAGGCCCGTGATGCACCGGGATTTACAGCCAGAGGCCGTCTTGGTGGAAGAGATCTCGAGAGAGGATGGCGCTCGAGGTGGCGATCTGAGATGGGTCTGGACCCGCCGTCCACGGCGGAGAAAAACACGGACGAAAACCCCCAAAAACACCGGCCGACGCTGGCAGTGGTCGGATGAGGACGAAACGACTTCCAGGTACGGTGGCCTATGGCATTTCGACCGAAAGATTCGGATTCGTCGACCGAACCCCAATGCGTTCAGACCATGTTCAGACCAGCGGGGTTCCCGCGGGGTGAAGCGGGGGGGTTCCCGCGCTTCAAATCGAGGGCCCAAGGTACAAAGCCAGAGGTGCCCTGGCGAAGTTGGAAGACTTCAATGTTCGATCCCGGAAGAGTCACAGAGTTAATGACGGGCTCATAATGATTCTTGTTCTTGGGGTTAATGATCCCCGTCTGTTAGGGCACTATTTTTTCCTGAGGCAGGAGGTCGTTTTATATAAATTTTGATCTGTCCGGTTGGCTCCCACAATTATCTCAATCCACAGGATTTCATAAAGATTGCATGGAAAATCAGCCTTCAAAGCAGGATTTCATAAAGAGTGAAACTACAGCAATTTATAAAGACTTAAGTCTTTCTCACAGCTCTTTCACTTACAGGATTTCATAGCCACATGAGGGCCGTCCGTTATTGCCAGTGAAGGAATTTCGATCAAATGTTAAAACACACATGTCGCGAAAGGGAAACTACAGTCCGCGAAAGGCCGGGGACAGCGATAGACATGTGCCAACCTAGACTTACACACAATGTGCATAATACATGACACATCCTTTTTCCCGAACAGAAACACGGATTTTCGCGAAAGGGCTGCGAAAGGCCGGCGGTAGGCCCGCGAAAGGGCGCATTGCCTGGAAGGTCATTTGCCCATCCATGGCCTTGAACTAAGCCTTGAAACATTTGTTTCAAGTATGAATTGACAAAGGGTAATTGGCCTGCTTCTCAGCGCACTAACAGGTATTTAGATATCCCAAAACACTGTGAACTCAGTGAAGCTCATCACAATGCGCGAAAGGAAAACCTGTGGTTTTTCTGCAAACGATCAAGATGATCAAGACATCGATAGTCGATGGAAAAAGACTGCGGCTGTCAGCAGAAACAGGATACTATAGCGTTTAGCTTGGATATATCTTTGATATTCTTTGATGTTTTTGCACTTGGGTGACGTCAGCGCCGGGAATTTATAAGTATAGAGTTCTGCCATTCCCGGGGAATCCCCAGGGAATTCATTGCCTTTCACGCTGCCACAAGCATGCTTCAGCCACAGGATTATATAAAGAATCAGCGTATCTTGATGAACCTAGGACCACCCATTTTATAACTCCCCAGGTGTTGATTTTACTGGGGATTTCTTATAAAGTCTAGGGTGCCAGGGTCACCCGTCCAACCAACGGGGATGTTAATGGTAAGATTCTATCCTATCCCTGGCTTCATCCAGTCGACGATCCCTTCCAAATGCCTTGTGACTATCGGTGACCCGAGTCGTTCGGATTTTTCTTCGAAAGAAGGACACGTTGGACTCCTTCGGTGGAAGTTCCAGGGTCGGACTGGACGTCGATATCTCGGGGACCTTGCGACTCGTGCCGTCCGGATCTGGTTTCAGGTCCACTCCGTCCAGTCCCGACGGCGGAACTGCACGAGTTCGGTCGGGTTCTCCCAGGCTTGAAGGCTTGGGTCTCGTGCTTCGGCTTGCAGGCGCGCGCCATCGTCGCTCGCCGCGCCGGAAACACCGCTGGCGCGTCGCAGCAACACGCGCGAGCGAACGCGAGACAGCGAGAGAGAAGGTGCATGAAATCGGGCCAGGGCCAAAGGGTCCGAAGTGATGCCAAAACGGGGAGTGACATTGAATCACATGAGTTGAACTAAAGTAGTCACACAGTGTTTTGAGGCGTTTTCACTTAGAATGAATCGCCCGGTTCTTCAGTTCGTGACCCAAATTGAGACATCCTGGTGGTCAAAGGTCACAAACAGACCTAGAGGCCGGATGGGACTACCAAGGCTTCGGTCACGCACTGAAGCCTATAGAAGACTATCTCAAAGTGAGTCCAAAAGGAACTTTCTACCCATCGAACGACCTGAACTGCCTGCCCAGCCCTTGTTCGACCTCCACGGCCTGGGTGGCTCTCTGCCAGCCAGTTGCTTGCCAGTGGCGCTCAGTGACGAAACGCGGACCGGGTCGGCGCGTTGCCATCGCGGGAAGTCGCAAGCAGCAGTGCTTTTCGGGTTGGACGAGTAACAAGTGCATGACGAGTAGTAGCAAGTAAGCTAATGCACCTGTTACTAGTAAGTAGGCTACTAGTAACAGGCTACTAGTAACAGGTGCATCGCTACTAGTAACAAGTGATCGGAGTTGGTCATCCGCCCAGTCACTCTCGTGCGACTGGGCGGCTTCATGGGTGTGTTCAAGCGACGAGGACACGACGAAACATCTTGGACACGAGGTCCGCAAGGATGTATCAAGGAGATTTGTAGCAGAGGTGTTGGCCTTTTTGACTACTAGTTACTAGACCATCCATGTCATGCATGTCGTGGCAGCGATTCTGCAGCAAAGAACGCCATATTCATTCTTGGAAGCACACCAATGACCGGGACATGGATGTGCTTCAACATGATATCCATCGCAAGTTTGCCTTCTTTTGGGAGGTTTTCAGCACCCTTTTTGCCAGCATCATCTAAGGCTTTCAGAAACTCAGCACCCAAGGAACTCAGCGCCCACAACATCCGTGCCAAGGCCTCCTGTGAATAGTGCGGCGCCGCAACTTGCTCCAGAGGCGTGACACAGCCTTTGTCCAGTGCACACAGGAGACCCTCCACGCAGTCAATGGACGAACCATGTGAGATCACCTCGCGCTTTTTCCTCACATCTCTTCACATCTCCTCACATCTCTTCACACTAACACACCTTCCACTCCTCCCCAAGCTCAGCCTCTCGCCTGGTTCCGATCCCATTTTCCCATCAACGGTGGATCCTCCGACCCCCCCCCCTTCCCACGGCCACGGCGTCTTTCGGCGGCGCCGCCGGGGGTTTGAGGCGTTGCCGTGCTCGACGGGTCCGGAGTTCTTGGCGCCGGAAGTCTGGAGTGTCTTGGCGTTTTTGGAGCCACACGGCCGGGGCCAACGTATACCAGTCACATGTCGCTCGGGGGTGGTGTGGCTCGTCCCAGCCAGGGGCCGTGGATGTGATGTGACGGGGGCACCCTGACTTCCTTGAGGGATAGCACCCCTTTTCGAACGTGACTGCTGGTAGATCGACTATAGAAGTTGGGGGTCCAGCATCCGTTGGCTCGGATGTGCTGCGTTCGGCCCCAGTTCAACCACCCTTCGATGGTTTTCGTAGGAATCTCACCTCGGTTCGACCATCCGACCTCAGTACGGAGGTACCTGGACCCGTATCGCATACCTGGAGGTCTGTGGGGAGGGCACCTATAGCGTGAACATGTGGAGTGAGACATCGGAGTGAGAGATGGACAGACTTGGAAGCATCAATGGAAGTTTCAAGCCGTTTAAATCTGTTCAATTGTTTAAATGTTGTCCTTTCTTTGTGTGTATATATTGTTTTGGTCTTTTTTTGAACAGGTACGTATCTTTTTGTTCACTTTTCTTTCGTTGATTGGAGTGGGGCGACTATAGTTTACCTTCACGATGTTCAGAAGTTCATGGAGATCTCCCAAGATGCCGGACTCGCCTCATTTTCAGAGAACCCGCTTCCACCACCGTGCCGGACTTGAGCAACATGTTTGATCTCGCCGTGCAGACCGAAAAAACCGCCCCAAATTTCGGCCCTGAGGTAGGGACTATGGGCCCAAGTGTGATGTCTGGTCCTGCGGCTGTCTCCTCTTCTTGCTCTTGACAGGTCGGGGGGAATGCTTTGGATCCTCGAGAATTGCTTTTTCTGCGAAGTTTTTGTTCGGCACGTGCTTGGGAGATGATATTTGTTTAACTGAGATGTTATTAATTATTCTTGTTTTGGTTTTGTGTGTGATCGAGTGTGTACTTTTTTGTGGGTTGGAGTCAGGAGGCGTCTGGGATGCCTGGGATGATCAGGACTCCCTCCCAAAAGCGTTCCCAGAGGTCCTGCGTAGTCCCGTCCTTTTGGGGCGGCGTGCGACGGAACGTGTCTTGAGGCGTTTCGTGTCTGAATTGGTCGGGTCTTTTTCACTTCTACTTCTGCCCCAAGCAAACCCAAAGATGATCCAAAGATTTAATGATTCAAACCCCGTCAAGATTACCCAAAGATTGCCCAACGATTAGCTTGGCGCGTGTGTCTTCGAACTGACCGAAGAGAACGTGGGCTTCGTGGGCTTCGTCTCGTCTGGCTGCGTCTCCCACCAGGTCGACCGCCCTTTCCTCCGAGGAAGTCGGTCTCTGATCTGGTGTCGGCCTCAGAGTCTTTGACCACCAGGGGAGGAGAGCGAGAGTGGGTGGCCCGACTTTGCTTGGATTTCTTCTGAAAGGCCAAGCCCCATGCCCCATGTGCCATGCTTGCGAAAGGCCAAGCTTCACTGATCGAAAGGTGGCCAGGCTCACTGATCGAAAGAACCGATTCACATCTTCACCGAGATCGGATTCGCTTGAGCTCAAACAGCAGGTGGGCCAAAGTGCTCATAGCTCAAGCGGGCAGGGGTGGCCTCCCCTCACCGATGTTGCCTCGTTTCTGACAAAGGTTTTAACATGGCGCAGCGACCCGAAGAGGGGTCGGCACAGCATGGGTTTTGGAATGGGGGTCAAGGACCCGAGGAGAAGTGTTGTGTTCCCTGGACAAGCTAGTAAGGCCAGGAGCCCCTAGTACTGTAGTGCGGAGAGACACTATAGGAACAAATTGCGTTGCAAGTTTCAAGGGCCGGCTCCGATCAAAGTGCGAAAGCCCAGTGAAAGCTTGTCGCAGAGCTTCGCCCCAAAACAACACACCCCATGACCATCTACCAGTTTGATTTCCACCCCAGGATTCTCTACTTTCCAAGAGATCCTTGATGTCAGAACGCAACCCTGACACCATCTCACCACGCCCCCCCAGGGCCTACCAGGCCAACTGCTTCCCTTTCCCCCAGCAATGGAGTGCCAGCTCTGCGGCGCCAAACATGCCAGTGACTGGACGGAGCTGCTGCAAAGGCTCGGCCACTCCGACCTGAAGGCACAGCGCTGTGCGCTCAAGAGGCGCCTCAGCGTGAGCAAAGGGATGGAAGATGATGGAAGAGAGAGTGGGAGCGAAGCTGCGAAGCGGACTGACCTCATGGGACGAGCGGGGTAGCTGTGGATCTGCAGTTTGCTGGAGTGATTTTGGGAGGTGAAAGTCTGATGGTCAGTGGAAATTAGTGGATATAAGGTGGTGAATGGTGGTGAGCAGATGTACTTGTAAGATACTCTGTGGCAATCCACGTTGGCTGCCCCAAACTGCCTCGAGCTCACAGTTTCAACCCACAGCTGCTTAAGAAGGTTGAAGTGATCATGAAGAATCGTGTTGGTCGGACCGAAATCCAATACCATCAGAACCATCAGAGTTTTCCTTCTTTTCTATAGACTTATATAACTAGTTAGATGAAGAGAGGCTCATGCTCATAGATCATAGATCAACTTATCTTGAGACCCTTCCCTTAAAGTGGGTACCGAAAGTCTTCCAAACAAACCCCGCAGTTCAGAGAACGAGCTTCGAACTTCCGAAGCTTCGTGAACACCACCACACACCACCACACCACATCGCAAAACACCAACCACCAACCACCGCGCCACCTCTTTCCTTCGCAGCTATAGTCCCTACGACCTTTGGACCGGCACCGCGCCCGAGGCTCAGCACCGCGGCGCTGCCGCGGTCTCTGCGCTCGGAGGCGCGCAGGCGCCTGCGGGAGCTGCTCCTGGAGGCGGCGCCGCGACCGGCGCGAGCCGGGACGTTCGGTTCGGTTCGGTGCGCGCGTGGGAGACCTCCGAGCTCTGCAGCCGATGCATTTTGGGGTGAGATTGGATTTGGATTGGACAATTACGAGAAAACGCGGAGGGTTCAAGAAAGGATCATTGCATATACTGGCCCTGGGTTTCTTTTTCTTAGAATGGGGTCGGTGTGACCAGTGGAACGAATTGCATATACTGATTGGATGCGACATCACTGACATCACTGACATCATGTGAAGAGCAGCATTATCGGCCAGTCCGAACATTTTTGTCTCCAGAATACCGTTCTTAGTTCTTAGGGTCAAGGATGTTGGATCGGGCGTGCTCACCTGTGCCGGCGGCTGTTTCGCTGCACAGTCATGCCTCCAGATCGCACGAAGACAGTGGTTGAGAGGTCGGGTTCTTGACTGCGCTCTCGTTGTGGTGCCGTGCGCATTTTTGGACCTCGTGGCGACTAGCCTCGTGGCAGGCACAGGAGAAGCCTCGTGGTTTTTGTGGTCAACCTCGTTCGCTTTTCGTGGCAGGAGATCGGAGCGATTTCGATGTGCGTGGCAGGCGATCGGTGCTTTGGACTTGGCGGTCTTCACATGAACTTTGGAGATGTGGATTGTCGGAGAGTGGGACCGCGCGAGGTGCGCTTCGTTTTGGCATCTCGAACTTGTCTTTGGAAGATCTTTGGTCGTGAACACTGGTTGAGCTGCGGGAGGTGAATCTTGGTGTGCAGATTTGGTGGCAGGCGCAGCGCTTTGTGAAAGGTGGCGCACTTTGTGAACTTTGCTGTGCAGATTTCGTGGCAGCCTCAGCAATCTTTACCCTCATGTGTGTAGTCTCACATGCTCTCTCATATCTGTGCTCTCATGTGTGTTCTCCCTCATACGCGTCTTCTCATATGCATTCATCCCTCCACTTGATCAAAGAAGGGTTCCGTTCCCATAGCACAACAGGTCATTTGTCACCTGTGGCCCAACTCAAAGCGTTCTCCCGACGGCCTCACAGCCACCCCGAACAATTTGCAACCTTAAGGAAGTAGTTCCCAACACTTGTCGACTTCCTCCCGCACCGGCCGATGGACAACGAACGCGCTCTCGCTGCCCTGCGCTGCCCTGCGCTGCCTGCGCAGGCGCCGGGGAAGAATTCCAGGGAGGTGCTGCACCTGGAGGCTTTCGAACTCTTGGCTTCTGCAGAGCTGGACGGCCACGAAGCCTCCCCACCCTGGTTCTCCTCCGAGGAGGCCGCCGGCTGCCTGGACTGGGTGGAAGCTGGTCTAGTGTTGGAGACTCAAAGCTTGGCACAGGAGCAATTGCCAGGGGTAACATGTCTGGGTGGTGTTTGGTCCCTAAGTGAGTGGATGTTCTGGGCACCCCTAACCTCCAAGTTCGGCACCCCTTTGTGACTCCTGGTGGTGTAGTTTTATCCGCATTACCAGGATTCCACGAAGGTCCCAACGACTTTCCTCTGCTTTCCGTTGTTCTCCAAAGCTTGGCTTCCCGCTATAGCTTTCCCGTTTCAAAACTCGGGCTGGCGCTTCTTTCGGGCCACCCTCTGCATTCGCCGCCGGGCCCAACGCCCGCGACAACGCCGCAGATCCAGTCGAGTTTGGCTGCGCCCTTGATGCAAGTCCTGCTGAGTCATTGGGAGCGAGACGAGTTCTCGCTAGGGAAGCTGATGATGCTCCAGCTTCGCTGGGTCGAGGCCTGTTTTTTTCCTGCGGGGCGTGGTTTCTGGTTTGGGGCATGTTCGTTGTGTGTGTGTGTTTTTCTTTTTTTTTCGGAGTTCGAGGAATGTGGCCGTGGTGTTTTTGCTAGGAACGGACACATCATCCATAAGTTAAAGTTGCTGTAGTTGATGTAGACAGTTGGGACACCTCCGCGATCAGGCATTTTCAGTGTTGGAAGTTGTTGAGCTGTTGTCCTCCGGTTCCACGGCGCGCCCGTGCCACTGCCGCACCTGGCACACGACGCCACGTGTCGCCGTTCCGATCCTGAGAACCAAGACTGACGAAGAGAGCTTTGAGTGACCCACTTTAGACCAACCACGATTCTTGGCTGTTTGGGCCTTTGAAAAGGCCCTTTTTCTTGTAAAAATCCCTTTTTCCATGCTTTCAGAGAGGGATCATCCATTTTGTGCTCATCAAACGACCACCGGTCGTCCCACCCTCGCCCCACCGCGTCGCAGCTCGAGGCGGGCGACGTCGCGCCGATGGCCGCTGCGGGCTTCGCGCTGAAAGTGCTGCGACGTGTTGGAGAGCGGGAGAGGCGAGCGCCGAGCGCAGCGGCCGTCGGCTCCGGCTTCGAGTTCGGTGATTCAAAGTGGGCATGACCATGACTGCAGGTTCTTTTGTTGCTGCTCGTGAAATCCCACTTTTTTAGTTCGCTTTGAATTGATCCATCCAGTGTGAGACATCATGATTTTTGCCGGCTGGTGAGATAGGGAAGGGGGGCAGATCATGGAAGTCACTCATGACCAAGGAGGGCTCTTGGGTGGCTGAAGCCAATCGCCGTTGTCACCGCATTGGGCTTCGAAATACGGATTCCGCGGCAGAGCTCCGGCAGGGTGTGTACATGGAGACCCGTCTTCAATCAAACAACCTTATCCAGTGATTTCTTAAGTGTAGGGGTTTCATTCGACCCCAGTTCTGAAGTCAATCTTGCACAACACTTCTTTGGCCCCAAGAGCCCGGCACATCTTCAGCCGACTTCGCCGCACGAGTCTCCGAGTTCCGCCGCAGGACCAGCTCCGCTCCCTTGAGGTGGTCTGAGGACGTTGATCTCGCGTTTCGCTCACGCGATCGGGTCGGCTCGTCTCTTCGCCGTCGCATGGATGTCCCGAACTGACCCGAGCCGTGTTTGGCGCTCCGGGGAGGATCAGTTGCAATTCCTGGCACGTGTTTCGCAGCTGGCGCGGCAAGGCTTGTCGCGCCTGACTTTGCCGCGCGACCAGGCACCGAAGGAAGCGGTGGTCGCGGGTGAGAAAGCCACCGTGTTCGTTGTTGAAAAAACCACAGAGGCTTTTTCTTTGCATTCAAGGGTCCAAATTCAATGGAAGTTAAAGTATAGATTGAAGTAGAAGCAGCATCTAACTTTGAAGAGTAAACTCGAACTTGTTATACTTTGTTATGTATAGTATAGAGGGCTTTCTGTAAACCCAGGCATATGGTGGTTTCGAACAAAAACACATCTGTGGATTCCAGGGCTTTGCTACCTGGCTGTCTCACGTTGCAGGGCCACGAACTAGGGATTGACCATAGCTTTGTCCCCTGAAAAAGATTACATGGTATTCTTGGTCCCTTCTCCGCTTCGCGGATGTTCAGAGCCTTCCAGCCCAGAGCCCGTCCTGCATCGTCGCAGCGGTTTTGCTCAGATGGTGCCATTCCTGGTGAAGTCGTTGCATCACTTCTTAGCCGCTGCAGAGACGAACACGGAGTGCCAGCAACTCTGCTTGGAGATCCTCGCTTTTCTTTGTGGCACCTTGGCCTTGGAAGAAGGTCGTGGGTCAAGGGGGAACTGAGTTGGAGAAGACAGGAGAGATGCTGGTATTGGTGGGGTGGTAGGGTGTTGTGTCTCAAGATGTCTCGGTCCGAGAGGTTCCTGGACCGGGTTCGTTCACAGAGCGACCGCAGGAGTCCCGACCGCGAGTTCACGGCAACCAAGGAAAGGATGAAGACTTGGATTGTGCTTCCGACATCAGGCAGGGCGTCGTCCCCAAAAAGTCGAAGGTAGACGGTTCCCGGCTCCCATGGCTGCGTGTCCAAGGCGCCGCTCCCGCTGTTCGGTCCAAAACATCGATCCGATCCGACCTGCGCTGGGTCGGAGGGACCATCCCTATAGCCGTCAGGGAGCGTTATCCGATTGACGAGATCTGGAACTTGATGATGGATGCGGATGAGGAGTTTCACCAGGACAGGCTGAAGCTTTTTGCGGATTCGAAGGGCGTGGATCGTTAGGGCATCAGACGAGAATCACGTGATCGAACAGGTGGAATTTGGATGAATTTTGGGCTTGCCTTGGCAGGGATTTTTCACATGAAGATGGGTTTGTTCCATGGCGCCATTCAGAAAGATGGGAAGATTCAGTGAACCCTCAAGGCCCCACCTAGATCTCCAAGACCCTTCCCTTTTTCCGCACCCTCCCACGGCCACCACGGCCTGTTCCGGCCCGAACCCCTCCGGGTTTCCTCCGCCGAAGTTCGTTCCGCTGGCGCCCACCGCCGGTTGGGCGGAGGCGAATGGGGCGACGCCCGTGGGTGCGTGGAACTACTGGGTGATCCCGCTGCTGAAGGTGCGTCACTGGCCGTCGTCGGGTGGCGGACAAAAACGGTCAGGTCGGTGCGTTTTCGTCGTGGGGAACACCGCTTTTCCCTGTTCTTTTTGGGAGGAAGAAGGTGGGAAGATGTTCATCCAGTTTGCTGTGGCAAGGATCCTGTGGTCTTTTTCTCGTGGACGGAGATGGATGGGTGGATGAGTGGATGTGTGTTTTTTTGTGTCAGGATGCTGTTTGAAGAGGGGTAGGATGTGGTCCAAATCATGTAGACTCTTGATGAATCTTAATGATATATTCCAACATACAATTATGTCAACCCCCCTAGCCTTTTCAGAGGTTCTACCTAGCGCTTCCTGTCTGGGTGTCCTGTCTGGAGACCAGCCTAAGTATAGGGTGGGTTGTCCAGCCGGGTGACCTGTTTTATCAGCAGCTGGTACAATCCGACATGTTTTGTTCTCTTTTAACTCAAGAGTCTCTCGACGATACAGAGGCACTTCGGGTCACTTCGTCGTTGAGACTGGCCAGGGGGGGGATTCTCGGGTCAGTTCGCTCCGCAAGGATCGCCGGTCTTCGACGACGTCTTCGTCGACCCCGAAGTCTGGCCCTTCGGTCCCGCCGGGGGTCCTTGGCGTTCGACCGGAAAAAAGAAGCCACCATACCCAGACACTCCATGGGACTGCCATATATACCTACATTGACCCCTCAAACCACCCCAACTGATCGGCATATATGGCAGTCCCATGGAGTGTCTGGGATATATGACTTGAACGATGGTGAACTTGTTGATCGTCTCGTCGTGGCTTGTCATCCTTCGCACCTAACAGTGGAGGGATCTCCCGAAGACTCGTACCGCTCGCGGGTGGTTGTAGACCCGAGAAGACTACACTGGCGAACACCTTTGGTTGGGGAGGTAGCCCCGCCAAGCCCAATGTGGAACGTGAATCCCTGGAAGATCCGTTTCCTCGCACCTTTCTTCAACTTCCACACGCACTGCTTGGCGCACCTCTTCATCTCCGTGCGTGTTGGAGATCCATCATTACAAGGACCTTGATTGACATCACGGCTCGAGCGCACTGCATTTGCAGAGCTGCATCTAATTCGAGGCATTTGAAGCTGTTTGAAGCTGGTTTGAAAAGAAATCCATCCCCGCGATGGCGGAGCAGCCCGAGCCGAACCTTGAGAGTGTGCCTAGTGCCTATGGTCGCCAGGTCAGCAACCGGCGACCACAAGTGCATGTGGGTGGAAGCTTTCTCCATATGTCCGGCGAACGGCTTGGTGCTGTGACATGGTGGATTTGAGAGCTGTTTCTTTGCTTTCTGACTTCTGGGCACTTTCACGCGATCGTCATAGGATAGGCCTCCATAGGACCGGGATGGCGTTGGTGGGTCTGATAGGATAGGCAAGAGGTGAAAAGAGTTTCTGCAGTCTGAAGATGCTCTCTAGACCAAGTTGTCAAGAACAGGTGACTTCCCAGGAGAAGTGCAAGACATGCATGAATAGTGTCTACATGGCCAACTTCATGGCTTTGGTGGTCCTCATTGATGCTGTTTGCACGGTGGCGGACATTGATGCCACCGCCCAGCAGCAGCAGTCTGGGGACTTGGTCCAGGTGATCTCAGATCTTTGTTTGACCGCCTATTCACTTGAGGCAGGGGGGGGGCTCTTGTTCGGTTGACCAATCGAACCTCCGTTCCTCTCAAGCTTCAGGGATCATCTCGAACTCAGAACCCTTCCAGTTCCATCAGTTTTGTTCCCCTTTTTGGGGGATGAACCGACTTGACTTCACGTCTCTACCGTGCCATCGCTGGGCTCGCTGGGCTCGATGGGCTCGATGAACAACTACGATCCCTAGCATCTGGGGTCATGATCTCCCTATCTTCTACCAGGTGCTTGGATTGCTCTACCTCTACGGCTTTCATCTCTTAAAGGACTGGATGATGTTACTGGATGTGGTCATCGTGGTGTGTGGCTGGGGCGAGAAAATCCTGGCCGCGGCCATCGCGAGCTCCCTGGGCTTTCGGATTTCCGTGCTGCGCGCGCTGCGCTTGGTGCGGATCTTCCGCTTGATGCGCCTGCTAAAGCGAATCCGGCCCCTGCGGGATGCCTGGCAGGAGATTGAAATGTGGATGAGATCGCGAGAGGTTCGTTTTCGAAAATTTGATATCCAACTTGGATATATCCTGTCGTGTTGGAACAAAAGGAACAAGCATGGGGGCAAAATGAGATGTTGTAGGATCTTGGTCTTTGAATGTGTTGGATGATCTCTGCTTTTGAAAACCATGGATGGCACCTGTCAGATGCTTCGGATGGCACCTGTCAGAATTCTGAGTAGGAGATCGGACTTGTTCGGGAAGGTCTTCGTTTGGTTTGTTCTTCTGGAGACCTTCTGTATGGGGCGATGGGTTGGCGCCCTGCATGGTGCCCTGTATGATGGATGCTTCATTTGTGCTCTGAAGCATCATTGGATCCTATAGGGGGTTCTTGAAGCAATGATTGGATCATTCTCCAAACAGCTGGCTGCTTGTGAGGGGTTCTCATGGCATAGAAATGATCCCTGACACCCGATGATTCTGCTTGGCCTCTGCTCTTTTGGATGTTGAGCTGAGATGATTCTGCTCTGTCTCCCTTTGTCTCCCATGGCTCTGGGTGCTGGGCTAGGATGATTTTGCTTGGTCTCCAGTATCTCCAACAGGGCTCTTCTTGGGTGGGCTCAGTTGCATTTGCTTCGTCTTCCTTTGTCCTCCTTTGTCTCCGCTCGCCTCCGACGGCTAGGTGTGATGAACTCCACTCGGCGTGGAACGGGGCAAAGAGGTCATTCCGTGTCGCCGGGCTTGTTTACGTCGCACGGTCAACCGGGCTTCGGCACTGGCCGGGCCGGCACGGTCCGGGTTAGGTGCATCGCCACATGGATACACGGCACATTTGCTGTTGGATGGGTCGTCGGAGCACCAAGGAGTTGCACAAACTGGTCATGATGATGGCCACCTGTCTTCGTACTTTGCTCTGGTCTTTCATGCTCTGCTTTGTCGTGATGACCGTCTGGGCCATGCTCATGGTGGAGACGATTCACCCCAGTTTGGAGGAGATGTACTTGGCAGATGAGTTGGGCAGCTGCGACACGCAGTGCATCCGATCCATGTCTTCCGTCATGGATGCGAACCTCTTAATTTTCAAAACGGTCATTGCTGGAGACAGTTGGGGCGAGATTGCCGTGCCCGTGATTCAAAAGCATCCGGGGACAGCGATCATCTTCGTAGGGTCTTTGTTGACACTGGTCTTTGGGGTGCTCAACCTCATTGTTCCACGGCCCCGATTGGTCAAACGTTTTCTATTTTTGCATGTTGTGCGTGCCAAGATCTTGTGCATGTCAGTTTCACGGACAGGAGGCCTCAGTTTTGAACACGTATTCTGTCAATCACAAAGTCGAGACTTGAAAAACATGTGAAGCTATATGCAAATTGTCATGTGTTCCCAAAGGTGCCAGCTGCTTCCAACGGGTCACCAATGGACAACCCACCCTACTTATAGGTCTCCATTGGACACCAATTGGAAGCGCTAGGTGTTTGTTCTTTTTTTTGTTTGGGACATTGATGTTTTGATCGTTTCCAGTCTTACAAGCCCAGTTGAGTGGGGCGAGCCCAAAACACACTTCCCCTGCCCTTCTGCCCAAATCCGTTGGGAACTGCCAGCGGCAATGCTGAAACACAGAAGTCGGTGTGAGAGCTATGGGGTGTGAGAAGGCTTTTTGGGAGGTATGGTTTCATTTTGTTCCTCTCAGTGCAACTCTCTGGGGAGAGAGATTGTGCCGCGCTCTAACAAAACAGAGGTAAACGGTGAACCTGTATTCAAAAAAAGGATCTGTGCGTAAAGGTTACTCTGTGTAAAAGGATTTGGGTGTAAAAACCTACACACAGGGTTTGGGGGGCACTGTGAAGGGCAACTCGTTCAGGCGTTCAGAATCATATCCGCAGTGTCATGGCTCGCAGCTTTCTTGTCATGACCAAGCACTTAAAAGCCCAGAGCCCAGAGTGTTGTAGCGTGCTCGGATGCCGGTAGTGGTTTAAATGGCCGACCGCACACATCTTCTGTATCACGCAGGGTCACTGTGAGAAACATGTCTTGCGGACGCGTCCTGACACTCCGGCCGACCGTTATGACATACAGGTTTGAAGCAATGCGCACGCGCAAAAACCAAACCACTGTCAAGCACGGGAACGTTGCAGGATACTCTGCATAAGGGAATCACTCCACACCCCAATCCATGTTGAATCTTGAGTTCAGGTGCTGAACAGGTGTTCTTTGTTCAGGAGCCGCAACCTTGCTTGCACTCTGCCCACCCGCCCCAGATGGGAGCTGTGGTGAAATGCGCGAAGCCTTATGAATTTGTCGCGCCATCCCAGGGGATGGTTGTCTGGAACCAGGGTTGGTGCCAGGGCTCAGGTTCTCCCAGCCTGGCACCACCCCTAGGAGTTGTCGCCAAAAGCCGTGGAAGAGAGGGTTTGGGCTAGGGGTGATGGGCCTCCACAACGTCCTACTCTCTTTAGTTTCCCTTTTTGCTTGGCACTGGTGAGAGAGTTTGGTGCGAGAGTCCATCCTTTCAGGTCGCTGTTGTTGTAGACACCTTTGCTGATGCTCGTCTCAACGATGTGCAAAACTTAGCGGAGGAGATGGAGGATGAAATTGAACATGATCGCAAAGCCTTGGCAAAGCTTTTCGCGCGAATTGACAAGGATGGCAGCGGGCAGCTCACTTTGCAAGAGATGATTGAGGGTGCTCGTCAGGATCCAGGATTTCAATCCCGACTGCGAGTCATGGACATTGACGAGCATGACTTAGAACAACTTTTCCAGATGATTGACCGGGACCAATCCGGAACCATTGAAGTGGCTGAGTTCATTGGCCCTCTGTCCCGGTGGGCGCATGATTCGAAAACTGCACCCCGCTTCATCAAGTATCACATGCTACAAACAATGCAAATGCAGGAGGATCTGTGGGAATTGTCGGTCGAGTGCTTCAACCAGCTGAACACCAAGATTGAGGCCTTGGCTGGGCGCATGGCTGGCGAATATCCTGCGGCTGAAGGCCCTCCGAAATCCCGCGAGATGAGCTTCGAGGGCGCTGCGCCCAGTGAGGAGGTCATGACGCACATTGGTTCCCTTGACTCTCGAGCATCTCAGGGCTCACACATCACGGAAACGATGATGTCGATGGATGTCAGTGGGAACGTAAAGGCCGGAAACAATTCGGGTGTTTTTTTTGCAGGATTTGGTCCAAAATGGACGTGCCCAAACTTTCAACAGAACGACATGGGGTCATTCCGCGATCGACCAGGTGGGATTGGCTTGAAGGTTGGTTCCAGTTGCCTTTTCCATCTTCTTCCATTCTTTTTGACATTTTTCTTCACCTATCTTCCACTTGCCCAAACTGTGCCGGCTTCACGGAAAGCCACGGGTTTTCCAGGTCCAGCTGGATGGTTTCGACTCCGTCCTGAGCCCCTCGGCCAGTCCGGTGGTGACCAAAGAGACGGCGCCGCGCGAAATGCTCGACCAGCCGAAGGCCTCACCGGACCCCGACCTCTGGGCGCCCAAGTCCACGGAGCAGCAATTTCGAGAGAAGTCCTCAGTCTTGGAAGGTTTGCTGGAATCGGCCATGAGCAAGCTGGAAGGCAAATTGGTGACTCGAAGCATTGAGGAGGTGAATTTGGATTTTTGTGTTTTCTTCTGGTGGGGAGGGAGGAAGGGGAGGTCAGATTGATCTCTTCAAATCATATCTCCTAAGACTATTTAGTTCAATGTCGTGGAGACTTAATTAGGTTCAATTTCCTTGTAGCACTATGGTAGTAAAGGATCTTTTGGAAGAACATACCTAGTCTCCGTTCTTTCATGAACCACTCAAACGCTAGCCGTTGACGTCCTCAGACCCGACTGCGGCGTTGCCAGGATTTGCTCCTCGAGAGCCGCGGGCGCCGCCACGAACTCCTGGCCTCTCCGGAGGGTCACAACGCCTTGAGCGAGGCGATCGGAAAGCCCAAGTCGAAGAAGAAGGGCAAGATCTTGCATCCCGAAGCCTTCAGGTTCGGCCTTTCTTTGGGGCGCGTGTGTTTTTTTCCTTTTTTTAGTCTTAAATCACAAGGGGTTTGCGCGATTAAGGGAGGAAACTTGTTGGACTTTGGAAAGACTCACATCCAACTGTGACCAATTTCTGCCTAACTGGGTTGGTTTGATATATGAAAAGGCGGACATTTGGCATAGGAAACGAAGATCCAGGTATAGATACACCTACGATCTAAACAAAAAAGATGCAAGGAGTGCATACCGATGGTTTCGGAGAGTACGAATGCGCCAGAAAAGGCCTAACGGTTATGCTGTGCTAAAGCGATGGGGACATGTAAAGGGTAAGTAACATTAACTATAGGTGATGGTTTCGGATATGTTTATTTTCAACCCTTACTTGGGGATACTTGGGGATGATTGGACCCTCTGACTCATATTTTTCAAGTGGGTCCCCAAAACCCCTCGTTTCAGCTGAGCTTCCGCATCCCCAAAGACCTCGTTTCAGCCGTGAGTTTCGCCGGTCAAACGACCGAAGGGCCAAGCGAGCCAGGGCCAACCCCCTCCAAGCGAGCTGGATCCACCCGCCACCCTCTTCTTTTGAAAGATGTAGGTGCCAAGGTCCAGACCTGCAAGGTTCAGAGTACCACCTGATGCTCTGACTGGGTAGAGGTGCCTTCGTGCAAAGGACCTAGCTTTCCCCAAAGGTCATACCTTCTCAGGTCGAAACTGTCCACAAAGAGGTCACGGCTTTTCTTGCGGCTTCGGCAGTTCGGATCCCTTTGGTTGTATCGGAGATCATCACGTAGAGACTCTGGACCAATAACCCCAATAAGCCGCCTTATGAAGAGGTTTGTACAATTCATGTTTGGGGGGGGTGGTTGTGAATAATTAGTAATTATAGATGTAATTAGAGACCTCACTCTTTTTTCCAAGGTGTCAAAGGTCCTCGTTCTTTGTTCGTGCCTAGAGTCGACGAGGGGCTTCCATTTTTTTGCGGGTCGTCTGAGTTCACCGAAGAAGTCGCCGTCCGTGGCGGTGCGTCGTGAGGAATATGTACATGGACCGTGGCAAACGGCTGTCCCTCATTCCACCTCCGCCAAGCTCGCCGCCAAGCTCTGGCGATCCATCGCCCGGGTGCGCGCATGCGCGAAGGACCACATGGTGAAACCGGCAAAAGCGGCTGCGACCGTTTCGAAAGGATATCTCTCTGAATGCATGTAAAATGAGTGCACAGGTGGTTGTCCTTACAGCAATGTACGTGCTTACTTTTAAAATGGCTATACGGTGGACCGTATCACAGACGCAGTCGGACATCTTTAAGAGATGACCTTCATTCCCGGAAAAAAAAGGCGACCAAACATGCTGGCTGCTGCGCAAAGACAAGGGCCTTCGGGGCCTTTGGGGTCGACGCCGCTGTCCGCGCCGGCACGGGCGGCCTGGCTGTCCAACGGCTCATGTGATTTCAGATAGCCTGATAATCCACCCCCCCCCCCCGTGTTTGCTGACCTGGTCATGTGTGTCGTACACCTGTACAGGTGCTTTGCTCCGCTTAAGGCTCCAAGGTGCCCCGGCGTGGTCTTATGCATCCGACTTTGGGATGGCCAGGATAAGCCCAAAGACACGGTGCTCATCAAAGATCTGGGCTTGGTCGCTGCCTGTGCCGCTGGGCCGGCTCGAGCGCCAACGGCTTTGGTCGCCTGAACCGGAACCGGTGAGGCGGTCGGGGGGTCCCGTGCGCACTCGAGTCTCGATCCTTTGAGAGGCGATCTCGGTCACGCCCGAGGTCCCGGACGCTGACGGGCGGGGGGCAAGGTGCCCACTTTTTTTTGGGGTCCCGGACCGGGAGACGGACAGCGTTCAGCTTCATCCCCCCGTCCGTCCTTTCTTCGACAAAGACCCGGCCCGGAACGCCGAACCACGAGGTGAACTCCGAGATCCTTCGGATGCATGCCATGAAAGATCTGGATTTGCTCCGGGCGCTGGAGGTGGGGTTTCATCCATCCCAGGGTGTTTTTGTCTTTTTGCATATGTTTATTTATTGTTTAATGTTTTTTTTTTTTTTTAAGATTACTTTACTTTTATAAAAGAGGTTATGAGTGGCAAGGGTGTTGTTTTCTAATCCTATCAATCAATATTGTATTAAGATCTCTGTGTTGTTCATCCTATTTTTTGCAGTTCTTCGTTTTCTTTTTAGGCTTGGTCAAAGATGGTTGAACAGAGCTTCGTTCGCGGATCTTTCTTGTTTGACTTGAACTGGTGAAACTCCGTTGGGGGCAGGTTGTGGCCAAGTTCTTTTGATAGGATTGGAATGCCCCAACGATCGTAGGGGTCCTTTATTTTTGTCCGACCCTCGCTCATCAAATGAAACATCATCATTCACCAACAACATAACAGCAACAGGAGCGTGAAAGACCTGCCACGTTGGGCGTTTAAACAATAACACAGAAAACATCATTAAACAATCATGAAAGAACCATTTTTGTCAGTTCTTCTTTTGCCTTGCCATGTTGGCGCCGCCGTGAACTCGGCAAAACTCCACAGGAGTTGAGCCAACGCAGCGACACCTCCGAGGAGGTGCGCCACTTTGCGCAGAAGACCGGGCCTCTCGGTGCTGCAGAACGGCGAGGAATCAAGCGATGGCGAGCATCTGAGACCGGCATAGAACTAGACCAACCGACGATGGCATAAAGCTAGGCCAGATGGCATATCATTAGACCAAACAGATGACATAGAGTTCCAATAACAGGTGGCATATCGTTATAGATCAACAGATGGCATATCATCAGACCAACAGATGGCATATCAACCATATATAGACATCTCATTGTCTCCAGATGTCATATTTCCATGCAGGTGGCATCCATTGAGATCCATTGAGACCCCCAAAAAGATCTCCTCCTCCCCCCCCCGACCGCTTCCGATGTCACCGCCCGCTTCCGGCCGAAGCTCCGCCGCTTCCGCCTGCTTCCGCACCGCTGAGTCTGCGGGAGCCGATCCAAGGCACCGGATCTTCGACGTGGCCTTTCGCCGCGAGGACCCGACGAGACGAGACGTGGTCCCGTTCGCGGTCCGAGCCGGTTCGGAGCCGTCCGGTTCGCGGGGACGCCGATGCTTTTGCAGGGGGGGACCGGAGATGACCGGAGGATCCGAAGGGGGGCCGAGCCATCGGTTTGGGGTGGAAGCCTGCAGGCTTCACCAGGGGTCGAAGGGGCCCCTCAACAGCCTTGCTCCTTGAGGGTCCGGAGAGTTGGGGGAGATGAATTGAAGAGCCCCTCAGCTGGTGATCCCGGGCCGGGCCGGGCTTTTTTGGGGTTTGGTGCTCCGTTCTCGAAGCGTGAGAACTGAAAGTTCCGCACTTTCAGCTGGTTACACCGAACACCGAAGTGGCCGTGAGAGTTGGGTACATTTCACTTGTGAACCTAGCCTAAATATGCTTAAATGATGACAGGACGATCCTCTTGAAGATCTACCCCACATGCCTACACTGGGCTTCCACCACTTGGACACCCCAAGGATGGCAGATTTACAGCACCCACTGGTGGAATCGGTGCCCCGTATCTTGTGGTTCGACCCACTGCGTTCGGTGACAACAGCCCAACAGGTCCCTCAAAAGCTGGACCCCAGAAGTCCAGTTCGACATAGTTCGACTATTTGAGGGACCCCTAGAAGTAAAGGAAGTTCCTGAACTCGGATCACCTCAAATGGTTTTGGACTCCCAGCGTTCGACCTCCTTCTGTCCTCTGGATCTGATGAGACCCCTTAAAAGAGGATCAAGATGAAGAGGGAAAGGAGCTCGGGTTGGCCGTGTTGCCCGCGAGAAGGCCCCTTCTTCGAAAGGGCCCCAAGCAGCCCTTCGCTCGCTCGCTGGCGCGGGACTCTTCGTGATGCTTTTGGAGTCGCCTTTGGCAAACGAACATCCACGAATCGGTCTGAAAAAGCAGTGAAGAAGGGTGAAGAGAAAAGGCGGTCTTAAAAGCCCTAGACCTAGCTGGTAGGTTGACCTCCCAGGTTGTCTATTCTGTGCATTCCGGGTGAGAAAAAACCAGGGTGTCCGGGCGCCATGACCCCTGGACGAGTTGGTCGAGTTCGCCCGAGTAGTATTCTTCGGGCCCGGCCCATCATGGCCCAGTCGCGTTTCTTTTCGGTTCGGTTCGAGAAACGCGCAGGAGCCCTCGCGGGCGAAAGCATCGCCTTCGCAGAGAAAAGGGATTGGGAGGGAAGCGACGAAGTGGCTGAGAGAGATCTTCAGGTGTCCCGAGCATTTCTATGGTGACGGATGATTCAGAAGTCCTCCCAGACTGGCAGGTGTTTGACCATCCAGGTATAGAGGGGTTTGATTCATCAACAGGGGAGAATGACATTGGATCATTGTATGAGTGGTTTACACCTTGTGAACTGAGAATTCATTGACCGGGTGGAAACGAATTCGTTGGGAAGCGGTTCTTTTTGACAGACACCAGTCGAGGGACTCCTGAGCGCATCAACTTCGGTCTATCTCTTCTACTTACTGCAGGGGCGATCGAGAGACGGACGCACCAGCCCTTTGAGGAGGCTCAGACCTGCCCAAGATCGGAACACCAGCTCGCAGGACATCCGGGCCGCCCCGCCGGATTTCCGACCGCCGCCCCGGTGTCACGTTGGAGCTGAGCTCAGGTGGATGCTATTACCACTCAAGAGCCTGACTGGTGAAAGCCTTGGAGGGGGGGTCGAGGTCGGAACGTTGAAAAGCAGCAGTTCCAAAGCCAGACATGACCTGCGGACTGGAAGATTGGCCGAGAAACGGCCCGGGGTGGTGGGTGGATTGATTAAAGGGGTCACTTGATTGGCACCAACATGTCCAGTCCCATACCACCACCCTCCTGGCCAGGCAGTTAGTTGTTGGACCCTGTCTCAGGTCGAACCGGTGACCTGTCGAGTCGGGTGCTGCTATGTAGTGTTTGGGACAGGAATGCTTTGGCAGCCTGAGTGAACGTGAGGAAGTCGGGGGCACCTGGATCTCTGGAGACCCTGCACCCTTTGGACCATTGGATGGAAGAGGTTCACTGCGAGAGGTCGGCTGGGGTTTGGGCTTAACGTCCACGTCGTGCGGTTTGGGCGCTGCCCCTTTTTTTTCGAAACAGACCGGAAGACGCAGCAGTTCATTCAGTGCCTGGTGAAAGCATCTCACGTCTTTGAAGAGAGATGTGACCAATCACGCCTTTGTCATGTTAAAACTCATCAATAGACAGATGGCACGAGAAATCGGACTGAAGATGTAGATACCCTAGAAGTCCAAAGACTATTATTTGACCGGCTGAAGTAAAGGAGCTTCCCTTTCAGGTCCCTGTTCGTCAGACCATTCTTGTTATAGTCGACTTGACTCCCAGGGGTATCAAATGAGACTGGTCTTCGGAGAGATGTAAATCTCTTTGGCCAAGGCAGCTCTTTCGGACCGCCGTGGGCCTAGCCGGTGGTGTTGACCGTCGAACACGATCTCGTTGGGACGCATAGGACTGAGTGGCGCCAGTGACGTAAGCAGCGGCCGAACACGAAACTGTTTGAAAAAGGATCTCAATCAACTCAATCAACTCAAAGAGTTCTTGGGATTTTCTTATTTTCTTTCGTGCCATCTTGGGTTCCAACCATTTCAGCTTCGAACTCGGCATTGGCAAAACCAGACGGTCACCGCGTGACCCGGGTCACGCCCCCCGTGCCTGCCGGGCGCGCGACCACCGCGAAGATCGGTTTCCTCTCCGAAGTCCAGTCCGACGACTGTTGGGGCACCACCGAACCCCTAGGCTTCCAACAACCATTAGTTTAATAGGCTTTACCGAATCAACTAAGGATTCTACTCTACAAAAACCAGGTCAACCATTGTTTAAATGGTCTTGGAAGCCTAGGGGAACCGCATCAGACGAACATCGCATCGAATAGCTTTGCTTCGCTGGGGGCTTCGCTCTCTGACGTGTTCGCGCAACGGGACGAGGGACGGACCTCGAAGTCGAGGTGTTTTGGGGGAGACGGGAGGGGTGAATGGGACCGCTCTCGGGGTATTTGGGGCCATTGGAACCATCCCCTCGTCTTTGGAATCCTCCATGTACACACGCATCGTTGGCTTTGCAACACCTTAGCCTTCCATTCGACCTTTTGACAAAGAATTGTTACGTTGACCGGGATTTGTAGTGTGTTTGTAGTGTTTTCAATCTGTAGCAAAACAATGCTTTGTTTGGTAAAGCCATGTAAAGGCTGATCGGCGGTTGGACTCCGGAAGCGCGCCTCTGCGCCTTTCATGGCACGACCTCACTGGCATGAGGTGTCAACAGCAGCACTGGCGCTGTGCAAGCGCATGCTGGACAAGGAGTGTATGCCGCACGCGTGAATGGGGTGAAGAGTGTCGACTGGAGAATTGCAGAATGGATGTCATGTAGACTCTTATAGTAATGGAGAACCATATGAAGAGGGTTTACAATCCACTGCTTTTTCTTAAGGAAATCATCTACAATTATATAGGCTGAACATCATGATCTCGAAACTGATCTGCATGACTTGACTCTCACAGGTGGAGCCATGGAAACGAGCTCCTTTCCACGGCTCGATTCGGCTATTCTCACTCACCAGCACGGTCCAAACCCGGCTCAGAGTGATCGGAACCAGTTCACTCAGGTCAAAACACCCCCGGTTCGTTTTGGACCGAACTCACATGTAGCAGTCCCCAGCTGCGTCCCAGCTGCGTCCGCATCGGCCGACCACACGTTCCTTTCACAGGATGAGCTCACCCGTCCGACGGCCTCCGATTGCTTAAGGCACCGTTGGACACCAAAAAGAGACACATGTTCTTTTTTGGCGGAGAAAAAGGTTTGCCCGGCCACAAAGTCGAGTAAGTCGGGTCTTTTTCGTTTTCTTTCCTGAAGATGGAGATTGGAGGATATGTGAACATCTTCAGTCTTATCAGTACTATTATGCGAAAAAGGGTCTCACCACCTGAGGACGCTTCGTCCATTTCGTCCGCTTCGGCGCCAATCGTCGAGTTGGTGGGATCGGACGTTCGGATGGGATGCCGCCGATCCCGGACATGACCTCCCTACAGAGGTTAAGTGACCTGAGCTAGGACCCCACAAGGGGTACCGAACTAGGATAGTCTATAGGGTTCTGACCCACCTCTGCAGGTCTGTTTTGATAGGACAAGATCATATTTTGGGTTGATGATCCAAAATTGGTCACTCAGGTTCTACGCTTTTTTCATGATCTGACACGGAGATGGTGGACTTACCCTTCTCGAGTTCCATGCTTGATCTCTTGCACCTCAGATTACAGCCCCATCATTTTACTGTAAGTAAGTATATATACCTTAGCCAACATCAAGACATCCTAAACCCGTTGTTTCATGGATGCCCCCCCGTGTATCCATGTACATCTGCCTGCTTGCATATTATAAGAGCATGTTACTTTTATACGATGTTTTGAACACTGCAAGGCATCCTTGGCTATCTCCTTCAGCCATGGAGCCCTCTCCCGAGTGGGGCGCCCAGATGCCACGGGCCGTTGATCGGCGCGAAGCGCTGTTCCGCCGAGATGCACCGCGGCAGGACGTTGCCGAGATGCACTCCGTGCTGAGAGCAAGTTGCGACTCTAGGCCCCAATGAGCATCACATCCGCAGCCCACCCCTGGAGCGACATCTGACCATCCCCGGCAGTTTCGGTTCCACATGCGCCAAACACACCGCGCATGCGGTTTTCGGTGCCTGCAACTATCCGGATCAGCATGTGGCCGAAGTCGGTGACGCTTCAGGGTCCACAGTCCACAGCGGTTTTTTCAGATCAGGTACCGCCGCCACCGCCCAAAAGAGTCCTTACTAGGGAGACACCCTGGCCCTGGCTGGGTAAACTGGTCTCTTTTTCCTGTCGCCCTGGGCTTGCCGGGGTGGGAGGAACACCAATCAGTGCGCCGGTCGATTTTCCGTCTTCCACCGGGCCAAACTGGGAGCCCCGCCGATTTTGATATACACCCAAATCGATGTCGGACTTCCTCTGGCGAACATGTTCGTTCAGAACCCGTTTGGGCCTAGGCCGTTGCTGCCTGAGACCTTCAGTGCCCTTATGCAGTGCGGAACCCTACCAGGGTTGAAGGAACTGGGATTCCACTCTGAAATCCAAGGACGAGTGAAAAAAAAAGCTGGAAGCGGGGCCCGTTCGGTGTTTTCAGAAGCCTTCGCCGTTTAGCGCTGTCGGGCTGCTGCCGTGGGCGGTGTTTGGCGCCCCTGGCGGAAGCGACGGTTTTGCGCCGTCCTGCCTGGAACAGGTCCCATGCCCAGTCCAAGTTCTTTCAGGCCTGGGAGGATCAGAGATGGGAGGGACATGAAGAACTACATGTTAATATGGAAATACCTGACATGCCCCAAGGGGTAGACCAGTCAGTCCTATGTAGATGCTAACAGCATGAGAAGGTTTTGATGATTTGGTCAGTTCTCTTGTCCAAGCCTGGACCAGCATGGCATGGCCATGCATGGCAGGACCAAAAAGAGCGCAACAATCTTTGGATCGATCTGATCGATCTATGATCACTGGGTCATTTTCCGTGAAACGATTGACACGATGTCTTCTTCATCTTCTTCTTCTTCTTCTTCAATGCAACAGCTCCAAACATCAACATATACTTTCAGGTCTTCCGGTGTGCAAAAAGCTGGTGTCTTTCAACCTGAGTGTGTATAGGGAGACCTCCTGCCCCCTAGCTTCGCTTCGGGAACTCGTCTACCCATCAACGTGGCGAGACTTCGTTCTTTCCTCGAAAAGCCCATTCACACCCTTCAGCGCAGGTGCTGATGAATGTGGTGGCTTCCGAGATCAAGGCGCCCGGTTCGACTCCCCGCTTGAAGCGTTCCGCACCGGGTCCGACCTGAAGAAGTTCCGCCGTTCCGCGCCGGCGGCCAGGTAGGTGGGCTCCGTCTCATCCGGGCGGCCTTGCAACGCTACGATCGGCACGGGAGTGGGTACATCGCAGCTCCAGACCTGGAGGCGCGACGCTGGTAGGGGAGGGGAGGGGAGTGGAGCGAGCGGAGGGAATCTAGACCTCAATGAGTCATATGTTGATGTGGACTCTTGATTAATAACCTCCCCCAAGTGAATTGAGAAACCTCTTCGGGGGATATGATTATAGAGTCCATACACTATCGAGTCCTCCAGTTGGACCGAGTCTTTTTTGGGCGCCAGGCGAAGTGTGAATCGGACACTCCTCCACATAATCGGACGGATCCGTCTCCCTAGAAGTCGATTTCGACGATTTTGGGTCTCACCCAAGGAAGTTCCTCAAATCGGGTCATCTAGTTGGGACCATTTTGAGATAGTTGGCTGGACCTCCAGGGGTTTCTGATTTCAGGTTCTTGGTTCCTCCTCCTCCTCCTCCTCCGCCTTCTCGGTAAAACCCGCCTCTATACCGGTCACTCGTCCGGTCCGGTCGCCGGTTCCGACCCCAGGCCGTCTTCCACGAGCTGTCCGTCTCGGCGGGGGAACTCGACGAAGCCGGGCGCGATTGGACGCTACTAGCAACAATATATCCCACTCCCATGGATAGGTTCAGGGTTCAGGGTTCCATCCGTACTTCTTAAAGGAGTGCAGGTATACCCAGACACGACCCGGACCTGAGACTGCCATGGCGGACTGCCGAGAAACCACCAGGGGTGGTTGACTGGGGGTCAATGTAGGCCGCATAGATGGCAGTCCCATGGAGTGTCTGGGATATATGTAACCTGAGTTGACCGCGATTTTTGGGAGGATCAACAAGACTCCATTTGGTAGGGTAATGGATTCGTAGTTAGGATCTTTGCCTCTTTCGAAAAAAGGATATTGACTCCAAAGGGACTCTGGATGATATTTCAACCTTTCAGCGGTTTTTCAATCCACGGACATGGGGGGGCCTATGGGTCTCCAGACTCATAGACCTTTTCAGGTTTTTCCCTGGCGGCCCACCGTGAGTGTGGGTCCTGGTGGCCCTTGACGGAACTGGTTGATCAAAACTAGAGGGGTCGAGAGACCTCCAATCGCGCACCAACCTAATGTAGGTATAAATCCGGTCCAGGTACCTCCGGAACATGGTCGAACGGAGGTGAGTTCCTACGAAACCAGACTGTCGAGAAGGGTTGTTGAACTGGGGGCCGCACGCAGCAGATCCGAGGCAACGAATGGTTCTGGACGCTTAGGGCCTTCATTTCGACTGACCTCTCTATTCCATATTCATCCTTATTGCCCACTTGGTTGGCACGTCATCCCATGGGAAGACGCCCCATTCGTTTGGGAAGACCGAAGCCCAGAAGAGAGCCGGGAGCGAAGACGCTCGCCCCGCGAAGAAGGGCGAGAAGGTTGCCGCATGCCCCCGGCCTGTGCGTGGTGCGATGTGCTCCAAGGACCTGAAGTGGACTCGTGGTGATCTCTGTTTTGAAGGATCCCACTCTCCGAAAGATGACCTGAAGTGGACACCTGGACCTGAATCCAAGGGGGTGTCCTGGACCTGGAGATCCCGCGCTGGTAGTGGGCTGGGGCGAACCCAGCCAGGTGACTCCGACATGAAGGTGCTGGTCTCAAAAAGGAGGTCAATAGGAGGTCAACTGTGTTCTAGCCGTTTTGGTGCCTCACGTGTGACACCACTTCGGAACAGGCGGCCACTTCGGAGCAGGCGTGGGGGGGGCCGGGACGTCGGAGGACGTGACAGGAAGTGGATGGGGTGTGATGGTGAGACCCTTCGAGGAAAGCATGAAATCCTTCGCTCCACACGTGGAAGAAGCTCCAAAGAAATCATGCCCCATCCATACAACACGTTGCATCTATACACGTCGTGAAGAAGTATACATATGCCAGTTTAAACCTGGATCTTCCTGTCCTGTGCAACATTTCACACGTTTCATCAGTTTCCATCTACCAAGACCATCCCAGTTAGGCGGGCAGTTTGCGTTGGAAGATCTAAATAGGCTCAACATGCCCAAAACCCAGGCAGTCAGAAACTTCCAAGCTTTGGACATGTCGGGCTCGGTCTCACCGGCGATTCTTCAGAAGTTCAGCGGTTCTTCATGTGGGGTTCCTGGCAGACGTCCCAAAGAAGACGTCCCAACGCAGCAGACGGTGGCACATGCTGTTCGATGTATTGGTCCCCTTTTTTCCATCACGAGGTTTCAAGATGAACCCTCGAACCCTCGAAGTGTTCTCTCTCGACTCCCCAGTCGACCACTACTACTTAGTAAAGGATAGGGCCCGACAGAGACCATCCGTTTGACCAACATCTTCGGACCTTTCCCCGGTGGCCTCGAGGCGCTCCGAGCGCTGGACGTGGCAGGCACGGGCCAGGCGCGGGACGGTGGGTCGGTCGGTGGCTCCAACCTACTAGCGATGGCCTGTAACCTACAACATTGATAAGGCCATTATGGAGGGTTTGGGTTAAACCCTTGGAAAGGTTTGGTAGAGCCCAGCCGCCATCTCCGACATTGTGGGTGGGGTGGTCTCTCGGAGAAGGCTGAAGGCCATCGCTACTAGTAACAAGGGCCTTACTACTAGCAGCAAGAAGCTACTAGTTAGCAGGGGCATCGCTACTAGTAGCCAGAAGCTAGTAGTTTGTGTGTGATCGTCAGCAAGGCAAAGAGCTTTAAAGGATGTGCATCTGCCGAAGATCTGCCACAGATGTCTTGATCCGTTGTCTTCCTGGGCAACAAAAACAAACTGTAACGGAACGGTGGTTTGGCCATGAAAGCTGCGTGCCGCCATGTTCGATCTGCCAGGGAGTATCTTCCGTGTCTCCCGACGGAAGCCCCGTGTGTCTCTCCCCACCTACTTTTTTCAGAGAACATCTACAGGAAAGCCATCCTTTTGGGGGGTGAACACCAGGCTTTCCTGCAGATTTCCCTGACACCAACTCATCAATTAATTGATTAGGACATGTGAAAGCGACATATTGGTGGACGGCCACGATCGAACCCAAGCCGCGAAGAGAGATGGGGGGGGGCGAAGAAGAAAGGAGTCCATCACTCTTTGCAGGCTCTGTTATAGGCGTGATGTGGGCCACTGCTAGGTCGCCTTAGCGATGCGGGGCGAACGACCGAACAGTGCACGCCCCGATTCGGGGAACAAAAAAGGAACAACTGGTTAGGTAGGTCAATTTGGGCACATGTTACACTAGGTAGTACCGCTAGCTAGGTAGGTAGTGTACTTCGAAGTACCATAGAGTCACATCTCGGATCATGTCGGGATGGTGTGGCTCGTCCCATCGGCTGTGGGGCGTCGATGTGATGTGATGTTGAGGGCACCCCGACAGGCTCCATAGCACCCCCTTTGTAACTCCTGATAGGTTAAAGCATGTTGAAACATGTTAAACCATATCATTCCAAATCTTCACCCCTTTTCACTTTAGAAGCCCCACGTTTTCTCGCGAAGCGAGGACACTAGTGCCCGGCGAGTGAGGAACACACACAAATTGGCCGAGACTTTGGGTGTGTCCCATTTCCTGTAAACAGGTTAAGATCTTTTCACTGCCCTCATTCTTGGGATTTTTTCCGAGAATGCCACCCCGCCACTGGTGGGATCCAGCTCCGTTGGAAACGGGGAAGCGCCTAGGGTTGAAGACTCTATGCTTCTACCCCGATGACCCCTGCGCCGCTGCGAGATTTCATACACGCTCTTTATGGCGGGCTGTGTGGATTTGGTCGATGACAAGCTGGACCACATGCTGTGGAAGGCGGGTTGCTGTGGGTTTTGAGCTTGTTCGTTAGCGGAAGTCCTGGACATGATGCACTACTTTGCATGACACGAACAGCCACAGAATCCCACAGAAAGTAACCAAGAAGCTCTTCTGTCTTAGCACCTCCATAGGTGTTTCTTTCCAAAAATCTGAACAATCCCTCCGAACCTGGCCTCCGAAAAAACCAAGTCACACACCCACCCAAACTCCGGCGACCGGAGCGCTTTTGGCGCTTTTGGCGCTAAGCCTGAGCGCTTTGGGACTGCTCTGTCCAGGTCTTTAGTATGGTGGATGAAGATTGCACGGGCGAGATGGAAACGCTGGTGCCGGAGCTCGGTGTGCGTCATCGGTCGACCGGTCGCGTCTTCTCTTCTCGTCTCGCGCAGCGCAGCGCGTCTCGCGCTGCTCCGTCCGGGCATGGCGGGAGCCGGGAGGGGTTCGGTGCTCGGCTTCCGTGGGGGGCCCTGCCTTTCAGCGAAGGCAAGGGGGTGTTGGGACCGGAAAGAGTTCAGCAGCCGAGCAGCATATCCTATGTGGTCCAATAGCCATCACATGCTTTTCTCGAGCCACCACTGACCTGACAGGATCACTTGGTCAAGAAACAAAGAGCCGGGAAGAGGCATCGGAGGTCTCATTCAGCCCATTACTGTAATCATTCAGCCTGCACGCAAACACTTGTGAATCTTAAACCCCGAGCCGATGTCAGTTCAGCAGCAATGGTTTTGCAATGAAAGACATGTTTTGCACTGAAAGAGTGTGTGACAAGGTCTCACACACCCAAGTGTTGACTGAAGGATGCATCGGCAGAACTCGCAGTGAGCCCCTCGAGCCCCTCGCATTTGGCCACTCAAGCGTTGTGAGAGCCCCTGGAGCTCCTAGGCGAGAAGGAAGGTGACACAGGAGATGAGAGCCAAGCTCATGCATGCTATGGCGACCCAGGAAAAGGACGGAACTGAGAAGTGAAACAGGTGAAGCCCAACCACTTCATGTCCATATATTGCCGCAATTTGCCGCTGCCACTGACCAGTTCCGGGGTGAAACAGCACATAACATCAGCTTTGCAACTTCCCACAGAGGCAGCACCACTCCGTCATTTCAAGACCACCTCTGATTTCAGAGGGCAGATGCCGACGGGTGCTGTGTCTTTTCACCTTCTTCGGGGCGCAGACTCGACAGTCTATGCACACAGAAACTTGACACGGAACCCAGACACCACTAAGACGATGAACCTTAAAGATGTCGAACCTTCAACGCCCCATGGCTAAAAGGCGACACCATTTAAATGAACATTATACCGTTCTACCTATAGAACTTCCTCAGTGTGTGTGCTTTTGTTTTTAACCTGAGGCATGAAAAGCAACTTTTAGTCATTGCCCCCAGAATGGAGTCTGCGGGCATTTATATAAATACTAGGACCCACAAGGGGTGGTTAATGGACACCCCTTAACCTCTAAGGGGCTATCAACACACACCCCTTTAGGGTGTCCTGGTATATTTGTCTCTAGTTTGTAATGACAAGCCCATCAACATGGTTTACAGAAGCCTGCGTGCAACATCTCATGCCCATCGACATGCCTGGCCATGAGACATGGAGAGCTAGCTGTGCTGCTGTCGGCTTTGGTGACGGCCAGCCAGGAGCCAGACTCGGACATGAATTGCAAGGCGGTTCCCATAGCACCTCTTCACATCGTTGAACCATAAACCATAAAAACATCACCAGGTCAACCATTTTAAAACATGATATAACAAGCTCTTGAAAGGCTAGAGACATGTTAACAGTGCTCTCCACCAAAAAGTACCCTTCCGCAACAGTTTTCCCCGGTCCGCCGTTGGGACGTCACTCATCCCAACGCAATGGCCGGTCGACGGAGCTCTGCCCCCAAAGGACTTCGTGGGAAAGCAGCTGGGAGAGGCCCCGGCGCGAACCTGTGGGGTGGTGCGGGCGAGTGGAGGCCCTCCACGTCCCTCTCACACGGACTGACGATGCGCTCGAAGGGAGCTACTAGGGGCTCCCTGCCATCGCTACTAGGAGCAAGGACGCTACGAACGGGGCTCCTAGCCTTACTAGGAGCGATCGGACGCTACGAACGGTTCTGGAAAAGCAACTGGGAGAACGATGGACCCGGTCCTGCGACGATGGGTCCAAGAATACCGATGGGACCATGATATACTCATTTCGTTACAACGACAGATGGACCGATTGCATGTGCCAGGAGCCCCGTTCGTAGCGTCACAGAGGTCCCACCCCCGGGGGAAAGGACCCGGAATCCGGCGTGTCCTGCGCAGCTACCAGGCGCTGAAGGCGCTTCGGCCACGGGGCTACGAAGAGACCGATCGGGAGGCGTTCTTGGTCTCCCAGGCGGATGAGACTGGGAGGGTTGGGAGGCCACAGCCAATGTGGGCCTGAGAGATGAATGTGAAGTCCAGAACTCGACGATTCATGAATTGTTCCTTAGCTGCAGCGCAAGTTCCCTTTCAGGCCCGGGTTTTTGATCCAACTTGATCTTCTTTGACGTTGGGGGATCCAAGCGCGAACGAAGGCAAACACCCGATCGAACCCAGATGGGGCGCAGGGACGAATCGCACCGTCCCTCCCTTTCGAACCAAGCCCCACCAACTCGAGCGAACCATGGAATGTTCGGACGGAACGAACGCGTCGGACGGCGCCAGGACGGCGATCGGCGATCGAGGCCCCACGGAGTGGTTGGCTCGGCAGGTGTCCCTGGCGCGGCAGCGTCGGCAACTTCTGGAAAGTCCTGACACGCCCAGAGCCGCGCCAAGCTTCTTATGCCCGGCGCCAGGTGGGCGTGGTGGGCGTGGTGGGAGGACCTAGAGAGGTGCGTGCAGATGGAATGGAAGCTCGAAAAGCAGTCAGATTGGTGGGCTAGACTTCTTAGCTGATGTTGACATGGCTGTGGGTCGAAACCAGGACCACTTAATCCCCAGTAGGTCGACCTCCCAGTCTATTCTGTTCACTTTCGGCGGTCAAGCAATTTCCCCGTACCAAAACGATCAAAACATATACCACTGAAGTAGAGGACGTTTCTGTTGGTGTCACGAAGTCAGACCATGCATATTTTGGAATATGCTTGGACCCGGAAGGAACACATACCTGGATCTTCCAACTGTCAAGACAAATTTGGCCGTTTGGGCTGGTTTTTATAGATGAGGCAGAACATGCAGAACGGCACAGTTGGAAGATCTAGGATCTCTCGGTCTCTATCGGCATCTTCCCGTTTTCAGTGGACTTCAGACAGGCGGGCTTCAGACGGACGCGTCCACGCTCGCTCCGGGCAGGTGCCGGCGTTCCGGAAGGTGGTGTCTACGAGACCGAGATCGAGGCGGTGTCCACGGTCTCCACCGGTGTCAAAACCACCAGCGGAACAGGGCGAAAGGGCGGTCTTTTTGACCTTCCCAGTTAAGTGTCACGGATTTTTTTTTGGATGGATTTGGTATTTTTGTAAGGATCATGGAAGGGGACTTTCCTTTCAAGATCATCCGTAAGGTTAAGAGTTAATAGGGATTCTGTTTGCCCACGTCTATTTTCCCGGTGGTTTTTGTTCCCATAGGGTACGGGGAAAGACGAGAGCGGGCACCGGACTATCACAAAAAGGGTCGACGATGTTTCTTTTGGACGGCTTCATTTGTGGGGAATCTGAAAGGCCAGTTCTAGAAGAAGGCCTGTCTCGTTCTAGGACTTGCTGCACCAAAAAAGCCGCCATCGAATCACACCCTGCAGGTCAGTTGGATTTCACTTTACTGGATTGGGTATGATTGGGCCATAATTATAGAACACATGGTTCACTTGAAGTCAAAGACGCAGCTCCTTGCCGGATCAAAAGAACCCATCGAAGCAGTTGAAAAAGCAGCATCATCGGCCGAGGGGCCCAGACATGACCTTTGTTTTGATAGGAAAAGATAGGAAACTGCACAGTTATACTTGCCTAGAGCCCAGACATGACCTCAAATTAGATAAGACACAGAACATACTTTTTGGTTGTTGATGATCCAGAGATCACTCAGGTGGACCATGATACGGCAACATGTCCGCCTTTTCATCGAAAAAGACCGCCCCCAAAGTCTCAAAGGGTCAGATCTTTCTTCCACTACTAGTGAGATGTTCTATTATAGGTAGATCCATGTATGCTATTTTCATTCATTTTCAACATAACTGTTGAATGTCCATCCATCCATCCATCCATCCACCCACCCATCCATCCGTACTTTCTTCCGCGCAGAAGTGGCACTTCCAACGACATCAGATGTGGGCGGAGGATCAGGACTTGTGTCATCGATCCTTTGGACTTTGGACTCGTGGAGGAAGCCTCTCCTGTCCCTTGAGGCGCCGAGCGACCGCCTTGGTCCGAGCGACCGCTTTTGACGAGGCAAACAGGGTGGCGTGTCCACCCCCATTGGGCGGTTTGGGCCCAGTACCCCATGCCGGTATGGGACCCCCCCGAGGTGTTTTTCTTTTGGCAGTCGGTTGCAGAGCGGTACCAGTCCTGTATGTTCAGAGGTTCGAACTGCATTTCGGGGAAAAGCGTGTCCCCTTGTGGTAGGGGTTTGACAAGTACCCGATGCGGTCCCAGTTGATTTCTTTCAACCTCTCTTGGCCATTTGGGGCTTATCTGAAGCCCTCTAAAGGCTTCAGGAGAGGAGTTGAGCGGTCAAAGCTGCTTTGGAGGGTGAGGATGCCGTCGCCGGTGGTGTTTGGGGCGGAGAAACATGTTTTTTTCTCGGGGAAAAGGGGGGGAAGAGAAAGGGATCGGGCTTCTTTTCGGAGTCGGGGGGGTGATTTTCTGGGTTTTGGGGAGGGGAGAGCATCTTGAAGGCTCGAAGAGGGAGGTATGTGTCTTTTGTTGTCGCGAGATTCTTGAGGTCGGACGGCAGCCCAAAACACTATTATACCAGCGTCCTCCCTGCCAGGTCTCCTCGCGAGGGTTGGGCAGGGCCCCCAAACAGGTCTCACTTGGTGACCTAGGAAGACACTGGAAAAGCCGGCACTAATCATCCATTGCAAGCCTGCAAGCCTGTCCTGGCATGTCACAACAGAGGTTGAAGAAGCCTAAAGCCCTATAGCCTATAGATTATCCGTACAAAAGATACCCTGGGTCATGGGTTCTTTTTAAGGTCACAAAAAGACATCTGTTGGTCCTGCCGTGCCCTGTGAGATACGCGGTGATTGGCAACTTCGTGGGGCTTGCTCCTGGCGACCTGGTTCTGGACATTGGCTCTGGCTGTGGACACATGGGCGCTTGGTTCCACGAAGCTCGGAAGTGGACGGCTTCCGCCACAGGTGATGCATGTCTTCGGCCACCTTCACAGGCGATTAAGAAGAACAAGACTTGCCTGTCCAAAGATAGAGGTACGGAAAAAGGATAACAATAAATTATTGAAAAAATCCTTTAAACATCGACATAAAACACACCAAAAGAGCATCTTTCCACGACCGAAGCTCAAACAGATGTTGCTAAACTTTCACAAGTCGTGGATGGATTGGTCGATCAGGATTGGTTTGGCGCGCGGACCATCGGTCTCGACTTCCAACCAGCTGCAGTGGCCTTTGCCCAGAAGTATGACTCTTGGACCGTCAAAGCTACCAACTGCGCATGGCCGGCGAAGACCGAACCGGTGGAACAGGTCGGGTTTGTCGCTACCCGCTGACCCATATATGGCGAGCAACAAGAGATACCCTGGGAGTCCAAGAACCATTTTTCAGACCGTCTTTACCAAACAACGATTTTCACGATACAAAACAAGAGAGATCCCAAGAACCTCGCTGAAGATGACCACAAAACTCCCGAAGTGTTCGGATCGAAAAAAGTTTGACCCGGTCAACCCCGAAGTCCTGTACTTCGGTGAACTATGTTTCTGTTCTCAACAAAGATGCAGATAGAAAAGTCCGCATCCAACTGACCAGTGAGGCATGTTTTTGTTGGATCATTTTTACAGAATCGCCTGGCGCCCCATTTGTCAAGTTCTCGGTCGCAGCGTGGCAGTAGGTCAACGTGTGTGGTTCTGTCACGTAGAACCCTGAGTGACCTGGATGTTGGGATCAACCCAACAGACATATGGTCTCTTAGTCTAGTCTCTTCCTCAAGACCAGAGGTCATGGACATGGGCTCCTTTTGGGCACAACACTATAACAGTTTGAACGTTTTGTAGAGGTACGAGTTCAGCCGGGCCATTAGGTAGAATGTTAAATAGGTAGACTTCTTCGATGTCATTAGGGGAAAGGACTCACCTATTAGGAGTTCTTTTTATGATCATAAGGTAATGACCTGGTAGAATGAGAGGGGACTCCACTTCCGAAACATCATCTTCTTTCGGATCCCCTTAGCTCTCCTCTCCTGAGTCTGTCTAAGTCTCTCACATCCAACCACCCTCCCAGTGGTCGTGCTGCGCCACATCTGAGGTGGTTCCAGTGGCGCCGACGCAGTTTTGCTGGAGACTTGGACCGCAAGCTGGAACCTCGGAACCGGAGGCGTTCCGACATGACTATAGTGGACATGAGGGACAAGCCGGTCGCGGTTCCTAGGTTTTGTTCCCCAGATCCAGGATCTAACCCAGTTCTGAACACCTCATTGAGTGGTCCTTTTGGTATATACCAACTGAAAAAAAAATGAGTTTCTACATCTCCTGACCTGGTCAGGACGTCAACGAGTCGACGTGGACGACTCCAGAAACGAAAGAGGGATGCCGACGTGAAGACCGCGGGAGTCATCGGAACGAACAGACCGTCAGACGTCGCCAGGAAAAGCAGGTGAGACGGGCCGAGTGGAGGCGGCGTCCATTTCAACCCAGACACGACTTCGACTTGGACCTGGGACTGCCAAGTCGGACTGCCCCGACTCAGACAGATCCCCAGTCAACCACCACCACCCCTGGCCTGGCCCAACGTTTCTCGGCAGTCCGGACTGGCAGTCCCAGACGGGTCGTTTCTGGGTATAAAAGAAGCCGCTCCTATGGGTTTTCTCTTCAACCTAGTGCTTCGGACCGTCGAGACCTCACCCGGTGCTTCCACATGGACCTCCAAGTGAAAGCCTCCCCTAGTTCATCCGCCGAATCTACCCACTCACGAACATGGAAGTGGAGTTCATCCCCTGTTCATAGAGCCAAACGCTCTTCTAGGGGGCCAAACTACCTTCCTGCCTGCCCTGCATTTGTCATGATGTCTTCGTCATTTTCAGATGCTCCCCGCACCCCCTCCACCTCCAGGATGGATGTGGCAAGCCAGCTCGGGGACTGGCTTCCGAACCGCTCGGTGAAGCTGGCCACGGCGATTAGCGCTTCCTGGCGTCGTACGTTGTAAGCGCGGTCGTGATATGATATTATGGTCGTTCTGGTCCGATTCTATCTTGATTCTAGCTCATTGTAGCTCATTATTACTACATAGTCCAAAGACTCTCAAGTATAGTCTTAATAGGATCGGATACTGTACATGAATCCAATTCGGTGCTCCGTGCGCCCGATGGCTCACATGAAGCAGCAACCGAGTGTTGCGCTCCTCGCAGCTGTGTGCGTTGAACCAACGAGTACGCTCGTTGCAGAGAGACCTCATGACGAAAAACACCAAAAAAACGGCACATACGTCGCGTTTATACATGCGTCTGCCGTGTTTTTCTGAAGCTCGACATGCTCATTCGGAATGGCCCCTCCAGAAACCCAGCTAAGCCTTGCTTCGTTCCTTTTCCGGAAATCCGAACGCTGACATCCATCTGCGCCATGGACTTCACAGACCGCCGAGGCGAATGGACCGAGCGCTCGGAATCGGCCCGGGGGGTCCGAACAACCGAACTCCGGAGAAAGGGTACCAGCACCGAAACCAAGTCCGGTGGTTTGTGGACACCCCTTAACCACCTAAGAGGCTATTGATAGACACCTGGAAGGTCGTGGTATTTGGGGATCGAACAGGTGTGCACTCGGCCCCTGCGCCCCTTCCTTCATAGTCCGACCTGGTAGTCATAGTCCACCACTAGTCCACTACCAGCACCCGACTTCACAGGTCACGCTGCGACTGGCGAAAGTCTACAAGGTCGCCTCCCCAAGCTCGGAGACCTGTTTCATGTCGGGTGCCGGTATAGGAGTACAATGGAGTCATGACATGGACTTCCGGTGTTGCCACGGCACCCATGTCGCATCGGGAGTGAGAGGCACTCCGACTCGAGTGGAGGAGAGTGCAGCGAGTTAAGCGTGTCGGTCGGTCCTTTGGTTCACACCTGGAGGGGCGCGAGGCGAGGCGTTTCGGACTTCCTTTCTGCCGAAGCGGCCGAAGCGGCCCTTCGGCGGCGGAAGATCCGGTTCAAGGGTTCCCTCTCGAGGAAGGTGGAAGGTGGAGGGGAATGAAGTCGTAATGAGGGGAAGGGAGAGAACTGAACTAGACGTCTGATTGGGCCAAAGAGTTTCAATCCGAAAAGCAAGCCTCAGCCTGAACTATAGGCATCGCCCGAGGGGCCCCAAAACGAGAACATGGCGGGCATTCATGTATAGTTGATTCCCAATTTACAGTGGTTTCAGAGGTTCGATGGCACTGGCACAGCTACATGTCTTTGACAGATTGGGGGTCCTTTTTGAACCACCGACCTTGGGGTAACTTGTGCCATCTACTCTGAAACCACTGTAATTTGAGTTGCGAAACATGTCTGGGGTGTTTGGTCGAAGCATGGGATTCCCTTGAGACCTTCTGAGTTGACTGCCGAGATCCAGCAAGCGAAGCCTCTGCGGTACTCGGCTTCGCAGGGAGATCGCCAGGATTTTCTACCAGCATCCTCCAACAGGTCTCCTTTAGAGGGTTCTTGGGCCCCAACAGGTCTCAATTGGTAGAGTCTCTTCCAACCTGCGGGCGGCGCAATTCATCCGCCACTGCAGCTCCTCAGCGCTCGCCTCACTGGTCTCGCTTCGCAGCCATGGCGGACCTGGATGTGGAGCTCCGGGTGGTCACCATGTCTGGGCGTCAGGTGGACCTGACGATGGCACCAGAGAAGAGCATCGGAGAGGTCAGGCAGAAGATTAGTGACTGGCACCGAGGGGTCGGCTGATCTGGTCAATGGATGAATCAATGTCGGGAGTGGGTGGGTCGACGTTTGCCATTGTTCCACACATCTTGCACCATCAACCAAGCAGGGTGAAGAAGGAGTCCAGGTATGGAACTCTTGGTGTGTCGGTTCACCATAGGCATCCACGGGCCCGATCCAGCTGATTTTTCTCTGGAGGGAGTCATCAGGATTTCTGTGATCTTGTTTCTTCTCCATCCGGCCGGCGGAGGCCTGTCTGGAGTCCTCGCCAGCAGAGAGCGGAGCTTTTTTGGTTGGAAAAAGGGGGGATGGAAGCTGGATTGGGTGCTTGGAGAAGGTCACGGCGGGTCTAAGGATGCCTAAGACACAGTGGAGGTGATTTAGTCCAGATGCCCAAAATGCCCTTTCCCATCCAGTGAGTGGATGTGGCTGGGGCACCTCTATCCTCCAAGTTCAGCACCCTTTTGGAACTGCTGTACCAGGATCATCCAATGGGTGTCCAATAGACTACCCTACCCTACTTACAGATCTCCATTGGGCACCCGTTGGAAGTGCTAGGTATTTTTTTCTTTTACCCAGCCTTATATAATCCAATTCTCTTGCTGCGCCCATCTTTTGCAAAGGCGAGATCTTGGACATTGGGAAGTGGCAGCTGCGCTTGGTGCACGAGGGGGCCTCCCTGAAGGAGGGCTTCTTGCACGACCTCATGAAGCCTGGAACTTGCCTGGAGCTTCTGGCACTGGTGGTGGAAGAACCCGAGATGTTGGAGCGGTGTAAACTCTTGCACAAGTGTTTCAATAACAGACAATTTGTCTACTGCTATGGCAGCTTGCGTCAGGTATCTCAAGTAGTAAAGACGGAGAAGGAGGCGATTCTCAATGGAGATGTGGCCTTTCATTTCGAGGGCGATAATCTCCTAGAGTTGTTATTGAAGAACTGGAAGGTGCAAGACATTGAAGAGCCCATGTCTTGGTTGCTCTCTGGAGGTGCCTCAGTGAACCAATGCTCCAGTGACGGATGCACACCCCTTTTATCCGCCTGTGCCCGAGGTCTGGGCAAGGCCGGTTTGATCTTGTTGCAACATGGAGCCAAAGCGCACGAAACAGGGCCGAATGGAGAGGATTCGCTCACTTCTGCACTGAAATTCTTTGCAAGGACTCCTGTAAAACCACGTAGCTGTGAAGAGGATATGGACTTGGGAAGGCTTTGTTGCCTACTACGCGCCTCTGACATAGACAGGGGCAACCGAACTCTGAATGTGTTGGAAAGAGCCAGACTCGCGTTATCACAGGCAGCGATTGAATTGGGTTTGTGTGCCTCTGTGGGAACGACTTTGAACAAACAGATGATCCTGGATCGAGCCTTCGATGTAGAGAAATCCAGCTTGGAAGCTGGAGCTGGTGAAGATCTATGGGCCGGTTGGCCTGGAGCCTTCTTTTCATTCTCTCAGCCACTTTCCCAAGACTCTGCCTGGGATGATTCCTTCTCCTTGGCCCGAGCCAGGATCTTATCTCATTGGACAGACTCTGGCCAGATGGAGGTTGACAACGATGGCGCCGTTTACATGGGCTGAACTCGCATTCCTTCCGCATGGCCTGAATTTTCAGGTTCTTGGAGGCCATCGCTCTTCGGCTGGAGGCCATCGCGCGTCGTAGGTTGGAGGCCATCGCTCTTGAGACGAAGACGAAGTCAGGAGGCGCCAAATTGCGGGTGCGTCTGGACTCCGGACCCTTTCTGCCCTTTCCAAGCAGCATGTTGGAGGCTTATCCAAACGGACCTGCGAGGCGTTCGGAGGCCTTTTTTTGCCATTTTTGGATCAGGTTCGATGATTCTGATGCAGATGAACCAGAAGACCATGAGCAAGCATGCAGTTTCTGGATAACATTTGATCTCTGCAGACGTGCACCTCTGCCAGCTTTCCAGCTCTGCTGCGCTTCAAGGAGCGCCGGGGCCGCTCAAACTCGTGCGCCGAGTTTCACCGAGTGCCACAACACATCCCGCAACAATTTCGATGACACAAAAAGGGAACACCGGAGCAGACGCAGATCTTTTTTGTTCAACATGTTTTTTGTTGGATCGTCTCAGTTTTGTCTCCACTTTGCTGTTGCTGTCCGTCGCTGCTTGTTGCTGCTTGGCGCTGGCTCAAGTGCAGAAGTCTTGGGATACCCCACAGCCGCCACACTGGTCACCACTCTTCCTTTGAACTCATCGGCCTGATTACAGCAGTGGTCACCACCGCATTTGGGGTCGCTCGGTGTTGCAAGGCGTCCGCGCGCCGTTGGGCCTCCGCGGTCCTTGGTGTTTGGCGGTCTCCGCGCGCGCCACGCGCTGTGTGAGCTCGGCAGGTCATGGCGAGGACTGTTTGGAGCTCTGCATTTTGGTGCATGGCATGGGACTCTTGGCGCTTCGCGGGTCGGAACGGGTTCGCTGAAGGGCCGATGGGGATGGAGATGGGAGTTCGATCAGAACAGAAGCTGACGAAGTAAGAGATGCTTGGACCCAGTATACGAGTACTAGTAGCTCCCAATCAGTTGTGTAGTCGATTTGTCCAACGGTTTTTTGCTGAGGAGGCAACGGCCGAGATTGGGACGTCTGGCGTGGGAGCTCAGAAAAACGAGCTGAGCCTCCTAGAGATCAGTGGACCTGACGACCAGACATGGGAAAAAAAACAACATCCCAAAGGAGCTCAGCAAATGGACATGCGCAACCGTTCGTCCGGTGGTTTTTTGGATACCCTATATAGACACCTCTAAGACGCAATATATATATATATATATACTAGACACCTCTTGGAAGGTCCTGGCAGAACAAAAACTTTGGCAAACACATCCTGCAACACCCCAACTCAACACGAGACCCTTAGACTCCTAGACTAGGCCATGGATCCAAGAACTTTGGCATGTAGCAGGAGCAGGCGGTTTTGGAAAAAAAAAGCAGGAATAGACTAAGACAGAAAAGCGAACGCCGCCTCAGGTCCCAGGTTCTCGGTGAGACCTTTCCGTCCTGGAAGATCGTGGCCTTACAATCCTTGGTGAAAGGCCGACGGTTCGCGGTTTCGGCCACGTGGCATACCCGTGGAGTCTTGGAAGCTAAACATCTCTGTGTTTTGGTTGGGGGGGTAGGCCTTGAAGTCCGTTCGTCTTTCGTTTTGGACTCCGGCCCACTTCCACTCACCTTCGCCCTGCCCACTTACATTCCCATGGGACTGGAATATGCCAATCAATTGGCCCCGGGTCAACCACCCCATGCAACTATGCCAGTCCCAGACAGGTCATGTCTGGGATGGAGTTGGGACAGGTGCCTGTTCGAGCAGACCTCGGCTCTTTCCTCTTCGGGTTCGGCTCTCGAGCCGACTTTTCTGTCATCCAATGCCCATGTGATGTGTTCGTGAGAGCGGAACAGTCCAGTGGAATAGACCAGGAAAGATTGCCGGCTCTGGTTACATGTGGTCATGGTACAAGCAATACTTCTGTCATGGTGCAAGCTGCAAGACATCCTCGTTTGGGCGTTTGGTGCAGAACTCGCCAGCTTCTAGAGTAGGTGAAGTCAAATTATGATGGATGGAGAGTAGAATTCACTATATCAGACTATATCCCCAAATTTGGTGGCTTATATGGACCCCCAATCTGTCAAAGACATGTAGGGCTGCCAGTGCCATCGAACCTCTGAAGCCGCTGTAGATCGGAAGATGTTTTTGATGGGTTCGATGGAACACATGCGACACCCACACTCCTGGAACAACACGATATCTTTCTGCTCCACACGAAGTTTACACGACCCAGGTCACGAGCGTAAGAACCAAGTCACTACCCACCTTGTTTCTTGGGGGGTTGGAGAGAACTTGAAACACTTTCCGCTTCACCCCTCACGACCAAGCGTCCGATCGGTAGGCCCTTTATCCCACCCCCCAGTCGACGAGGCGCACGGCCGATGGCCAGTGGTGTCGGGGAGCCCGGCTGAGAGGAGAGAGGCTGGTTTGGTTTGAGGGGAGAAGGGGCTCTCAGGTCCAAAAGAACGGGCCTCTCAGGTCAGGGGGTGCTTTTTGGTCCTCTCAGGTCAGGGGGTCCTTTTTGGTTGAAGCCTTTGTTCGCCTTTGTTCCATCGTTTTTCCGGTTTTTGGTAGGCTTTTCCTCTCAGCTCGGAGGGAAGGGAAGAGGCGCCCTCTCAAGTTGGCCTCTGGACGGACCGGTCGGGGTGTGTGTTTGGAGCGTCGGGTGTAGGAGGCCGGTGGATCCCCCAGCTAAACCACCCGTGACGTGGGGTCCTTTCGCACGTAGCCGGAGGGAATGGGCAATCCAGTTGGAATTTTAGAACCACTCCCAACGGCATAGTAGTCACTAGTAGTCATATAATAGTCATATACATAATAGACTGAATACCAAGAAAACATATAGAACAGACCATCCCCTTCACATCTGTGTCGCGTTCACCTGCTTAGCCATGCCATAGCTTCCCCAGGTGTTTTCCGCCCTCGCTCCAAGTCCACCCGGCCTGCCTCGCTCCGTCTCTCCTAGATGGGGCTCGAAGTCCACACCGTGGTTCCGAAAGTCTAAGGATCCACTTCCACTCCGAGCCTCTCCTCTTCGCCATAGGGATCTAACTCAACATTAGGTCGACACCCTAGCGGAGCTGGCCGCGGTGGAGATGGCGCAGATCGTCCTCTCCGCCCTGGACGAGCGCGGTGACCGGAGGAAGCTGCGCTTGCACTGTGTGGGGCACTCCATGGGTGCCATGGCAGAGACGGGTCACCGGTGCTGGGGTCGTTCTGGGTGGGAAGACCGATGTCGGTGTCGGGTGGAATGGAGTGGAAACGTTGGTGTTTGGATGAAAGGTGGAATGGAGGTGCTTGGACTGAAACATTGGGAACTTGAACACACATATATATTCACTCATCTCCAAATCGAATATCTCAAAGATTTGGAGTGTGCTCTTTTGGAAAGCTTTCCCTGCTCTTTTGCACCAAGGCGGCATTATCATTCGCAACTGGGCTGAGTTGTGGTGCCGCATGAACATGCGGTCTGCTACATCGGGACCTGAAAGAGGTCGTGGGGATCAGAAAGAGAACCGAAGATGCATTTTCCTGGTCCTTTGCGGAGCTCGTTGGAATGCATGCTGGTGCTTCCCACTGGTTGAGAGTTGGCCCTTTGTCTTGGGGAGACGTTTCCAACCAGATTTTCACTGTGGCCCCTTTGCCGTGTCATACAGAAAAAGGATCTATGTGTCCTCTTCCAGGCTGGACCAATGGGGTCTGTCTAACCTCATCCAGAAGAAAAAGGTGCCTGAAGGCACGAACCTGCTCCGCACAGCGCTGCGCATCGCTGGCACGGACGAAACACATCGAAAAACTCACGGCAGGAGTCACGCTCGTTGGGGTGCCGGTTCCGAACGGAGGAAGTCGGGGTGCCCATCATATCCCATGATTCCACTCACTGGATGGGAGCCAAAACCACCCAACTCCATTGGTGTTTTCTTCTTCGTTTTTAGTCTCGTTTCTGAGGCGGTGCACTTCCAAGTCTGTTGAGCCGCCTCCAAGGCGACGGTCTTGGGGGAGGGCGACGGTTGGCAGGAGTGGGGATGAACTCACGACGCATGAAACGAAAGAATTGACATGCATTAAACGGTTCTTGTAGCGTACAATCCGGTAATAAAACATGTAAATGCCATGAGTATTCAGTCAAAGGCTATGAAATCAATGGTGGAAAGCCTTGGGAAGCCCTTAATTCAGTGATTCTTCGCGGCACAGAGACGGCCTGCACCAAGTTCCTGAAAGTTTCTTGAAAGCAGAGGCACCATCTACAAATCATCCAGTGATTCATGAAAAGACATCCACAAATAAGCACGCGGAGGAACCCAACGACCATATACCTAGATCCGCCAACTATATGTCAAATTTCAGCCTTTCCGCTTTTCATCCATAAAATAGTTGGAAGATCTAGCCTCTCTCTGGTCTCTCCATGACAGGGTCTCTCAAAAAGACTCCCAAATGGACCATGAGGATGCAAGAAATGCTACAATGTTCACTCCATCATCAATAATTGAAAGAGCTCAACCAGGCCTGTGATGAGTCGACTCTACAGCTTGTGGACTCGCGAACTCACACAATGAGAAAAAGGCTGACATGTAATGAATCAAAAACCTTTAGAGGGTAGTTGCTAAAACGGAAACTTTCGAGCAAACCGCAGGACCGAAAACGACCGCGAACCTGGTTCAGAATCTCCGGCAACAACGTGGATCCCTTTCACGCTCCGTGAGTTCCCGCCCTTGGCCCGCCCGGTCCCTGCAACAGCGATCGGGAGAGTCCAATCCGAATAATTCGGGTTCCGACTTTGCGTCTGAACTACAGGCCATCCCCCAAAAGACACGTGCGCTGATTGGTCAAGGGGAAGCACCCTGGAACATCCTGTCTACCCGGTGGGAGTCGGCCAGCCGGCATGTTTTTCGGAGATCGCGTGGGATCTCGGCGTGCCTTTTTCGCACCTTTCGCGTTGGCTGAGGTGAAGGAGAGATTTCCATGGGCCACTACATGTCGTTATCCTCACCACACCTGGGTATTCGGGCCAGCTGGAGCTCTCCAATGCATGCTTGGAGGTGCCTCAGCGGGCGTTTGAACAGAAACTGGTACGGGTAGCCTCACCCGAGTGCCACTTTGGGCATTCTCAGACCATGTCACACCTTTTTGTACTTGATGAATCAATAGTCACATGGAACAGCATGGGACATTTAGAGTCAACGTATCCGACTCACTCCTCCACTCCTCATCCACTCCTCGAAGCTTAGTAGCTCGACCGCCGAGGAACTTGACCGGCCCCTTAACTGCCTGTTTGACGCCGCAACTCTCACAGCTTTGTATCGCAGATGAGCATGAGGGCCGCTTGGAGAGATCGGGAGATCGCCAACGTTGCGACGACCGGTCTGGGAGAGTTTGCGTTCGAAGTGGGCAGATGAAGTGGTGCATTGGCATCCATTGCGGGGTGCTTGAGTTGAAAAAGAGGTCTATGCTAGTAGCTATAGAAGCTACGAACTTAGCTCCCAGTACTAGGAACAAGAAGCTACTATAGTAATAAGGGCAGTACTACACTAGCAGCTACTGCTATAGCATGCTATAGCCATATAAGCTATAATATGCTCCTCCCAAAGCGGCCCACCGGGGGCTATCGACCTGAACCCAGATCGCCCTGTCCGTCCGCCGTGCTCGCCCCACTGGACACCGTGCCACGCCAACTATTTGGGGAATCACGCCGAACCCAACAGCACAGCGCGAAGATGACATGGTGAACCTACGAATACAGTGGATTGAGGTGATGTTTTTGGGGCTGCTCAATGTCGCTGTGGACAGCTGTTTCAGTGTTTGTTTCGGTGAGTTTTCGTCATTGTCTCAGGTCACACTGCAGGGCTGACCTGTGTTGGAACACGTCGAAGTCATTCCACACCTGCAGTGGCGCGGTGCCAATTTTAGTACAGCCCACCTGAAGGTGTGGAAATGTCAGTCTTCGTGGCACGTGGCTCATTCTTGTTTAGCCTGGTGATGTATAGTTGATAGATGTAGATACCAGGAGTCACATGTGGATAACACCCGCAAGAATACGACTGAAACCGGGGCCTCTCCCTGTGCGGTCAGGCCCCCCCATTGGCCCCCCTATCCCCCTATCCCGCCGCTCCCTCGGCTTTGTCATACTTCGGGAGCGGGGACAAAGAAAGAGGGACCAATTCCGACAAATCCAATCCCAGACACTCCATGGGACTGCCATATATGCCGATCAGTTGGGGTGGTTTGAGGGGTCAATGTAGGTAAAAAAATGGCAGTCCCATTAGTCGTGTCTGGGAATTGCTGTTTCCTATGGTTTTTTTCCAGCCTTTTTCCCATCCCCCTCGTTTCCAGAAACGGACCGCCCCGGGGACCGAAAACACGGACGCGGACGCCCAGGTCCGGCCTACATGTTGGCCTTGAGCGATCCCCATGGTCCCTACGTGGCGGCGTTGCGACGTTTCGCATGTCGCACGTGTGTAGCTGTAGCTTGGCGGGTTTGGAGTGTGCCGTGGGGAGGAGGTTGGGGAAGGGAAGGGTGAGCGTGAGCAAGCGAATCCTTGGCCAGACCATCCATGTAGAGCCCAGACAGAACCTCTGTTTTGATAGGAAGTGGGACCATCTGTTTTCTCGGGGGTGTTGATGATCCAAAATAGGTCGAATACAGGCCCACATTGATTCCTTTTCCAACCGTCCCAATGTAGTTCAATCCATGGAACAGACACTCCTTGTAAACAGTCCAATTCCACAATTCCATGGATGGTCTGGGTTATGTCCATGCCAATACTATCTCAATCCCGCCTCCTCTTTGTGGAAGAGATCGCGAAATGATCATTGAATCGTCTATCTTTCACCAAAAAAGACACATGGAAAAACATATGAGAAAACACCATGCACCTCCACCACACCCACCCACGACCACCCACCCACGACCTGTTTTTCCACCTCCACCCCACGACCTCAAAAAGAAGGGACCTCCCTACCTCGGACGACGGAAACGGTGTTCGCAACGTCCACGTCCCAGGTGGCGGATGGGGACGCCTTGGTCTCCTTGGCCTCGGGGATCATCGACCCCAGCCGGCCACGGAAGCCCAAAGCAGGTTTCGCCATGCACCTTGGAGGAGAAAAGGGAAGAGGGTGGAAAAGGGAAGAGGGTGGAAATGGGACGTGGAGAAGTTTGGGCCAGGAGTGGTTGAAAAGGGTCAATATAGGCATAGATATGCATAGATGACATAGCATGAAGCCTGAGAAAAAAAGATATGTATGGCATGTGTTATTTTGTGCCAATTATGTATAATCTTTTCAGACCACCCCTAGAAAACCCCTAGCCAAACTTCTCCGCAAAGTGATCCAGTCCCGCCATCTCCCGTGTTCGTCTTATAAAACGGTGAATTTGACCGATGAGTAGGGAGTGATTTCGCAGATCAGAGGTCCATCAACTTGAGAAATTTGGAGGACTTCTTTCCCTTGAAGAAGCTCTCTTGCTCTCTCTCTCTCTCCCCTTCTCAGAAGGGGGGCCACCAGCACTTGGCCACCTACGCACTGGTGTGCGCACCTTCGTGAATCACGCGCCTTGGCGAACCCGTGCCTCCAGAGTCCGGAGGCACTCCAAAGAAATGGACTTTCCAGCGCCGAGCCCCGAGGCGAGGCGAGGGACGGACCGTGGTTCCCTTGGTCGAGAAAGCGGTTTCCAAGCTCTGTTGAAGAGGGAACTTTGGGCTCTTTGTGACTGGTGGCTTTTGGGCCACCCCACTTGCCAAACAGGGTAAGATATGATTGAGTGGCCTGGTGGGTTACAGCATAAGTGCTATATTCCAAGAGTCACAGAGCTTGGGGTGTTGTTTAGTGCCTATGTGAGTGGATGTTCTGGGCACCCTTCACCTCCATGGATAGCACCCAACTCCATCAAACTGCTGCTGGGGTGCGGAACCCCCTGTTCTGCTGGACCGCGCCATCGAGGGGGCGCTCGCCAGGGGGGGGGCGCTCGCCAGAGGGGGGAACCCCCCGCGGCGCAGCTTGACCAAAAGCACATCACCTTGGGACCCGTTCGAGGAAGATTCGCTTGGTTGTCAGATCCTGAATGTGTCACGTTCCTCGGCTGAGTAAATGTCGTTGTGGATTTGAACTCCATCAAGAATGAAGGAGGCAAAACACTGCTGGAAACTGTATAGGGCGATCTCTCAGAGACGGGCGTGGCCGGTTGAGAGAAGGTGTATAATGCCTGGTGATCTGGTGATTGGTTATGTGGATGGCACCTTTGGTATTTGGATTTCATGGTCATCCCAACTCGGGAGCCATGCCATCCACTTCCATGATTTTCTATACCTTAATTCTTTTTCGCTTGGATACAGGGAAAGACCTACCAGCACCCTCCCTGCCAGGTCATTGAAGTCTCCATTGAAGAGCCTCCATTTCGGAGACCTGTTTCCGGGTGCTGGTAGATGCGCCATGAACCCCGAAAAGGCTTAGAGAAGTCGAAGTCTTCGCCCCGCCTTTGCTTCGCCGCACCTGCGCCCCTTCCGGCCGCACGGCAGGGGGGCCATGGCCGGCGTGCTTCTTCCACTTCGCAGGCGAGCGGTTGAGAGGTTGAGAGGCCGAAGGCCCAAAGAGCCAGGTCTGGATCTGAGAAGACGGGTTCCACCATGTTTCACCTGATCCTTTGAAAACGACGACGACCAGGTCGCGGTTGACTTCGCGGCCCTCCTCGGCCTTCAGTCCATCCTAGCGCTATCCCAGAACCGCATGGGGAAGAACGAAGGACGGTCCACTCGAAGGATAACGTCTAGACTGGTCGGTCCAGGTCTGAAACCACCGACCGCTCGGTGAGCCGGGCCGAAGTGGGGCTTCTCGGTCCGGGATCGCTTTCGGTTGGTGCTTGCACCGACAAAAAGCGCGGACGCAGGGTCCGGTGACCCGTGTTCGGAGAGGTGAAAGTCATGTCAGCCTTTACCTTGGATGCTGTTTTCACCCACCCAAGAGCTCATGTGTTTCGAGTTGAAACCAAGCAAACTGGCACCGACGTCGTTCTTCTTATTGTGGAAACCACCATGGGAGAACCGAAGGTCTCGCTCTGTTTCGCCGAGCCGTGCAGGGGGCTCAGTGGGTCTCGTGGCCAGGTGAAGCACTTCTCACAACGGCTTCAGTGGCTGCGGCAGCAGGGTGGTGATGCTCCTGGGTGGTTTGTTTTTCGCGCGTTGTTTTGGCGCAGGTAGGAGAAGAAGTCCATGCAGCGAAGAAGGATGCTAAGTTGGCATACTTCCTTGTTGTGCGGAGTCTTTTTGGGAGTACACCAAAGTTTCCACTCTTGTTCAGGCTATCGGCCCAGGGGGAAGACCCAAGGACAACAATCCATGTTCATGTTCGCTTTCCATTCATGCATCTGCACACGCAAGATGTCCCACCCAAGACGAAGGTCGCATCTCAAGACGAAGGCGAATGACCTTCTGGAGGCGTGACAACGGAGGTTTTTTTTTGCGCATGCGATGACAGTGGCCGCCCCTTCTGGTCCAAACCCCGGAATTTCTCCGAACGAACATCAAGATGCTGGTGTGGTACATGAACAAAGATGGAAAACCATTTGTCTGTCTGGTTGCATGTAGGATCTTGTGTGGTTTCCACCCCACGACCTCTGGCAGATTTGACCTTTTGACCAGCATGCCTCGGGGTTGGTGAAACAAGGTCAAATGAGGTCTGGTCCACGTGGGCAAGAGGGGCGGACTGAGTCGGGGTGTTCAGCGAATGCGCATGCCTCGAGGAAGCGCATGCCTTGAACATTGGATGGACACTCTGCCATTTGAAATGATTCAGTTGAACCTGTACATTGGATTGGTTCACAGTGCCTTATTGTGGTCATTTTGGGGTCTTTAGAGGCCGCCGATTCCTGATTTGTGTCGATTCAGATCATTTCTTCTGGATTATTATGAATTGTGAATGTGGATGATGAATCCACTAAGGGCACCAGGTCCAGGTTTTTGGTTTCATTTTGCCAATCACACCATCACCAGTGGGACCCTATGTTTTGAGCCATCACCATTTGGCTGTGGGAAACTGGCACCGGGATGTAACTGTGATCGGATTTCGTCCCTACTTGGTAGGACTTGTTTGCGGACTAACTCGCGGACCGCGCCAGTGGACTGGTCGAAGCAAACCAGGACTCCCCCAAGCACTCCCCGATGCTCAGCGCACTTCGATGTGTCCGATGTTTTGCATCGTTTCGCACCTGAAAGAGTCCGGATCATCCACATTTCTTACGGACGGTGGAAGCTACGCACGGAGGCCATCGCTAATAGGTGGGAGGCCATCGCTACTACTACTACTACTACCACCACTACTACTACTACTACTACTTCAGAAGCTTTCGAGTAACTAGAAGCTACTACGCACGGTGGGAGGCCATAGTTACACGAAACCGCCATGCAGGTCGCCTGCATCCGCCGCCGAGAAGGATGGAGTTTGCAGCAGCGATATCCTCAAGGCCGTGAAGACCTGGTCCGGATGTCTACCATTGTCTACCTATGGATGTCCAGGGGATGGTTTCACACTAGATGTTTTTAGATCAATGCTTTTGTGGCACAGTTGTGGCATAGTCCCGCTTCTCATGCCAATTGCTCAGAGTCACGCTACCTGTGCTGGTTGATTGGGGATTGGAGACATGAGAAGAGCCCATGTGAAGGACGGGTTGGTGAACCCCATCCTCCTTACGGCACGTGCTGTCCGGTGAGCTAAGTAGAGCAGTTGCAAAACCTGGAGATGTAGATCATTGAGTAAAGGAGTGGCTGTTTGTTGAGAAGCTTGGTGAAATGTGAACGCCGGTTGACTGGCAAAAATGCTCAAAGAGCCACCGTTGAAGCTCTGGAACTCATAGAGATTGGCGCAAAGCTCCTGCTGCTCTTCCTGTTCCTCACTTGTTATGGTTCATCAACATTTGGAGCTCTTTGTGCCCTATCCCTCCAAGACCCCAGAAAAGAAAAGCTGACCTGGTTTTGTATCGTAAAGCCATGGTGCTTCGTGATTCAGGCTCTTGAATCTAGTAATTGGTCGGTCCCGTGAGACCCACGTGACACCGCGCTGCGGCAGTTTCCGGATGACCACGGTGGTCGGCCCGCAAGACGCTCCAAAGAAAGGCTGACCGTGAGGGGGAGCCAATCACTCACCCCCCTGACCAGGTCAGCTTGACCTCCTTGGACTTCAGGTCCAGTCGAAGCATCGAGCTCTTTTACCTTTGGGTTTTACACCAACATATACCAGATCGTTACCATTTTAAAGATGGTCGACTTGACTTCCAGGGTATACCAACACTCTTTCAGGTTGGGAGACAGACTGGACTTGGTAATCCTTCATCTGACCTCTCCAGACACATGCTGCCTCATGACCGTCCCGGACACACACCTCACTTCATCCACATCGACTCTATGGCTTGTCGACAGAAACCGAGACCGACTCATGGCCTCCAGCACAGACACCTCACTTCTCTTGCTTCCAGGACTGCTCCGTGACACGCCGAGCAGCCGCGACACCGCCACGCCGGGCAGCACCGCGACGCAGCACTCGGCTCCTGGGACGAAGGGCGCGACGGACGCGGGTCCTTGGAGGGCCGCGGGGCGGCGGAGAAAGCTGGAATGAGGTTCAAGGTTTTCAGAGTTGGAATGGTCACAGTCAAGGCATCATGAGACACGAAGATACCCTCAATCAAACACAAAAACAAAATTACTCCTCCGCACATGAGGAGTCGAACATTCATATTTATAGATGCCATGATGTGTCAAATCAGCAAAAGGAATCCTGATCAAGCGATTGGTGGGAGTCGTTTTTTTTGAACGATTGCTTGGGCTCCATGAACTTCATTCATTCGTGGTCCCCCAAATAGATGGTAGCAGGGTTTCCAAGACACCTTTTCAGTGGGATCTACGGATTTTCTATCTATTTCGGGGGGGGTCTATGATAGGGAGACCGAGCTGAGTCTGAAGAGCGGTCTTTGGACAAGAATCCTGGAAACAGCTTGAAGCTACAGAGAGATCTTCTAAAGGCAGGATATCCCTTAAAATCTTAAATTTGAAGGGATGTCATATCCAGAAGCTATCTATCTTCCCTGGCCCATGGCATTCATTGATCCATGGCTTAGGTAGTGGCTCACAAGAGCTAATCCACCACCCAATCCACCTTCCCATGTGATCCTCCACCGGTGCACCGCGCGGTTCCATCCAGGATGGTCAGTGTTCAGTGGATCGGGAGCTGTCAAATCATTCAGGCGCGGGCGGGGCATGGTCCGGGCGCTGGGTTGTGTGAATGTTGTTGTGGATGGTGCTGGATGGTGCTGGATGGCGTGAGAACGCGCGTGGGTGGAAGGGTGAAGAAGGGTCCAGTTCGAACTCGTCTAAGTCCAATCCCAACAACTAATTGGAGATTGGAGATTTTTTTGGGGCCCATTTCCTCCCCTTTGAAAGTCCACCACTTGGAAGCACTTGGGAGGTGTTCGAGTCCTTGAGCAAAGGGTATATATAATATTATGATACAATTCTCAAAGTGTCATTGGGGGATACTTCATGCAGACATCCCCAACCCTCGGAGCTAGACGAAGTTCGCAGTTCGCCATGCGGCCGGCGGGACCGGCTAACACCACTTTGTGTCGAGTTGGCGATGAAGAATCCCTTGGTGTCAGAAGGTGAAGACAACTCGAATGGTGAAGGCATGGAAGAAGGCGAAGATGGAAGAACCATTCCATGTTCCAGAATGGTGAAGATACGGAAAGAAGGTACAGGAGATGCTTGATGATTCCCAGACCATCCATGTATGATTCCGTTGCATTGAGTCTGTCCCTGTAAACCTGGAACAGTCAGTAAACAAAGAACATCGCTATATCTACATCATCATCCACCTTGATATACTGGTAATGGGATAGACTCACTGCATACATTTACCGAATTGATGGTCCCTCAGGTAGGTACACTCCGAACACCGAAACGGAAGTGGATGGCCTCTGTTGGTAGAGGAACGCACTCACTCTTTCCCCCAAGAGACGGCTGTTCCGTGTTCCGTTCGGGCAACTCACTCACTCTTTCAGTGGACGGAACCATTGCTTCGTCGTCCCTCCAGGGAGCCAATCTTCGGCCTCAGGGTGTTCCGCGACGGGCACCACCAGTGACCCACGTTGCAGCGGTGGGGGTGTGGGCAGTGGCAGGGGTCGGCCCGGGGCAGCAGCTGGGCTGTGGCCCGAACAAAAGCTCTGGGTCTGATGGGACCTCCCAGGTCGCGTTTTGTTGATTGGGTGGTGCCGGAACCGGTGGTTGTTGGACGTTCTTAAAGCATGGCACGGGTCCGTACAGCGTTGCAATGGTGCGGAAATCCTCGTACCTTTACCAACCTTTTTGGAACAAGGGCGAATCCAATACCAGAAGGCCTAGCATAGCTTGCTGAAGCTGGGCAAAGCCAGCAGAGGTTGAAGAACCAGACTATCCCAGTTCGGTACCCCAGAATGCTCCTATTGACGGTCACTGAACCTCCCCTCGCTTGGAGGGTTTCCTCCCCTCCCCCCCAAAGCCGATCGACGCTGTCCTCCGAAGAGATCGGATCGATCCCCAAGGCACTGCCACGCCCACCTGGACGCTGTCGCAGGATCGACGCTGCAAGTACCCGGCCGCTCGGGCTGGAGGAGGAGGGTGATGGGGCGTGATGGTGGGGCGTGATGGGGCAGCGCACTCTCGAGCTGTCATGTGATGTGATGAGGTCATATAAGAGCAGGGTCTCATGCTCTTGCATGGCTTTGTTAAATACCCTCAACATCAATATGTGATCATGAAGAGCCCAGCCCAGTGGGCTTGCATGCAGTCTGCATGGAAATGGCATGGGGTGGAGAAAGGAGCCCACCATCGCCCCCCTTCGACCGACCCCCGAAGCCTTCGGGGCGTCGCTGAAGCACGGCGGACCGGAAGAAGGTTCGGGTCGATGGGCGAAGAGAGCTGAGGAAGAGCCGCTATGTGGGTGGTGGGTGGGCAGTGAGGGCCATGACTTGCACATGTGCTAGCTGACATGCAGATTGGAGGTGTCACATGTGCTGACGTGGTGGCAGGGTGGGTGCCTAGGAAGAGCTCTTGGAGGGTTTGGCCTCATTGCCTTGGCGGCGCTTGGTGGTCTCCCTGAAGCGAGGCCATGGGCGTTCTGGGCGTTCGGGCGGCGCAAGGCCGTGGCGCACGGCGCACGGAAGGGGTTGGGATGGAGGATTGGTCGTGAGGAGGAGTTGTCGGAGGGGGATGAAAGTGAAACCATTTGAAGCAAAAACACCTGGGGAGAGATCCGGAAGACCAAGATGATTTGGACCTGCAACTAGTTTGTCGTGATGAATCTCCCCCTATGAGCATCAAGATCATGATCGGCAAAGGGTGTTTGCATGTGAACAACTACAAGCCAAGGAACGGCACGGTTCCATTGTATGACTTTTGTGAGCTCGAGACTTTGGTCATGAGGAACATCGATGACATG